GGATAAAGAAGAAAAATGTTTTGAATTTCTAATATGTTTAATGTAACAGAATATATTTCTAATATGTTTAATGTAACAGAATATATTTCTAATATGTTTAATGTAACAGAATAAATTTTGTGGTAAAAACTAGAAGAGCTTCGAAGTACGAGGTCACAAAGCCGTATGAGTGAAATAGGAATTCTGGTTTGACATGATAAATACTAAATACTTATGCAATGAAATTCCTTCATGTTGACTTGTAAAGTTTAATCATGAATAATTAGTCTCCCTTCTTCACCCTTATTCACCTGGTCCATTCCTATACTCTACCCCCCACCTTGCACCCCTGTACATTTAACCCACTCCACCCCCCACCCTGGCTCTCAACCCTTCCGCCCAAATTTGCCTGTCAATACTTTACAGGTATCTTCCAGGCATAATTAATTACTGCTTGGTTTTTTTTTCTGAAAGCCGACAATTTAGCAAAAAAAAAATCGAATACAGTCTCAGGAATAAGAAATATTATAAATAACGCTCCCCTTTTCCCCTCCCCCCAGGCCCTGCCTGCAATTCAAAGTCTTTGGGTGTTTTTCTCAATACCCTCCCATATCTTCCCCCACCCCCAGACACCCCACCCCCTAATAAAATGGTTTCACGTGCCTGAGTTTCCGTGTGCACAGTTCGAGAATTCAAAACCAACTGTGCTCCGTGTTACAGGTATACAGCTTTCTTAACAGACACACACATCTTAGAACAGACATACAGACACGTGCATGAATATTATTCAAGCATAAGAGAAGAATAGGAGAAGGTCCAAACAGGTAGAAGAAACCATAAAGAGATAACAACAGCTGAATGTTACATCTAAACAGATCTAGGGGTTGGCAACGCAAACCTGGTTCGCACGATCAAAATCATTTAAAACAGAGAGAGAAGAGGGAGGATCGAGGAAATGAGAGGGAAGAGAGAGGATCTAGGAAAGGAGTGGGAAGAGGGAGGATCTAGAAAATGTGAGGGAAGAGGGAGGATCTAGGAAAGGAGAGGGAAGAGGGAGGATCTAGAAAATGAGAGGGAAGAAGGAGGATCTAGGAAATGAGAGGGAAGACGGAGGATCTAGGAAATGAGAGGGAAGAAGGAGGATCTAGGAAATGAGATGGAAAAGGGAGGATCTAGGAAAGGAGAGTGAAGACGGAGGATCTAGGAAATGAGAGGGAAGAGAGAGGATCTGGAAAAGGAAAGGGAAGACGGAGGATCTAGGAAATAAGAGGGAAGACGGAGGATCTAGGAAAGGAGAGGGCAGAGGGAGGATCTAGGAAAAAGATTAATAACTTTAGAATAAACATTTAATATCAAATGACAACATGAAAACAAAAACAAAATGTAATTACGAGTTGAACTTTTAACCTCTTTTTTATGCTTAGAATTTGATATATTTCATTTAGCTAAAATTTCTAGGTTTTTATATATATTCCAAAGTAAAAAAAAAATCTAAATTTCAAATGTTTTTACACTTTCTCTGTCTAATGATTATATATTCAGCTATATTTTTTCTTGATTTTTCACGTTCACAAGTGTTTACAGATTACAATGCATTTTTAGTACTTTTTTAAGAAAATAAAAATGGCTTCTTGTATTGTTTCAAGAAGAGGTTAGTGACGATACCAGGAGAAAACTGAATAATTATCATGGAAACAGCCGACACAGCAGAAAAGAAAATTTAGTTTTGTTTATTATATATTAACACTGAATTCAAGATAATTGGGTTTTACTCAATATTTCATTGCTTATATTTCTATGGTTCAAATTTTTTAGAATCTTTATTATAAAACAAGACATTCGTATATATATATTTTTTTCCCACATTTTTTTCTTCAATTTTTTTATTTTACGGGAAACGCCGGGCCCTTCAGCTAGTTATTATAATAAAATGATAATAAATAAAAGTTTATTAAGTTTGTTTTATCTTGTTAAATTGAAAAGTAAGAATTTTTTTCGCTTCTTTGCGGATTTTAGAAATGAGTTTCTTTTTTTTGATTTAAAAAGAAAATTTAGATATGTAAAGGACAACATTTAGTTGAAACCTTTTTAAAACTGTGTTACAGGGTTACCCAATAAACATAGGAATTAAGTAAAGAATTCTATATCGTATTTGTTCCACACGGACTATTTCGTAAATACAATCTTAGAAGATCTACATACAAAGGAAGCTCAGAAGACATAGATTATATACTTTATATTTTTTTATACACTCTATTTTAAACATGCCCTTCTAGTGTATCTATAGTTATAAAGTACTAATCTCTGTTTGTTTGTTTGTTTGAGGTCCGATCATAACTTAGGAACCCCTTGAAGGATTTGCCTAATTTTTACCGAGAACTCATCAGATCTAGTGGTATGTTCTTAGCTTGGTTTAAAGTATCTAAGTTGAGTGGTTTAAATATTTCAGAGAAAGTTTAGTTTCTAGGCAAAGCTGAGTTCCCGAGCTAGAAATACATAATTGTTTATTGTTATTGAATAAAATGTGTTTACACAATATAAGAACAAGACGATTAGAGAAGAAAAGAGCCAAGGAGTAAATTAATTCCAAATATGTTTTTCTCTGTTTCCCCCTCTAGGGAACTTTTTGTTATCCTTCCTAGTTCCTGCAAGTTTGAACTAGGAGATATACTATAAACTGGAGTCAAGAATAACAACATATTTAACTCCATTAACAACTTGTTGGGAGGGGGGGGGTAATGGGGGTTAATGGATTATATACAGTTGGACATATTCAAATAAAAGACAAAAATTATGCAATCTTATGTGTATTTGATGTTGTTATAAAGTAAATAGTTTCTTCGATAGCAATTAGGTGCAATGGGTTTTTGTACGCTGCTGCACAATTGCTGTGTTTCATGTTTAAAATCATAACTTTAGTCTCCTACTCTTCTTAATCCACAGTTGTTTAGGTCTCACTTTTCATACATTTAACAAAATTCTTCTTTTTGAATTATATATCATATGCATAATAAAATATTATTATTAATATTATTAATTAGCAAAATGCATATTCTGTACAAAGGAATTGAGTAATTGCCACAAACTCTCATTTTTAAATCCTTAGATCTTTGTAGACCTTAGATATTTCAAACTATAGATCCTATTAGATGACATAATCCAAGTTTAAAATATAAAAAGATTACATCATAAGGTTGCAAAGATATCTAGATTTGGAAATTTGAGGTTGTGGCAAGGATTCAATTCCTTTACAACCTATATGGCAAAATACTGTTTTCTGAATGAAAACGAGTTTACTTACTGTTAACAGTATGATTTCTTGTGACTTATGTTGCAATATGAATTTATTGTAAACGACCTAAATGTAAAATTAATCAAAAAAGGAAAATGAAAAATGGACTTTTTTGAAATTGTATTTTCATAACAATAATTTTCCAAAATGGTGGTAAATAAGAATGTCGATGAATTCAATACATTTCTCATATCTCATAGTTTTATCAATATATGTACACACTATCAACATTCTCTTTCCGGCACTCATTCATGGCTTAATGATATCAGAATATTTAAAATAGAACTGGGGTTAGATTTATGTTATTATTTTGTTTTTAAACAAAACCAAGAGCTTCGATTTAGAAAGTGCCATTAAGGATTGACAAGTAAAACCTTTAACCGAGTAAACCAATATCAGAGAACTCTTTTTAAGCAAAGTTTGTCTTTTTCTAACTTTTTCTTGATGTTTTTCGATGGATTTTTCAGAGACTTATTTTTTGTAAACGATACCCTTTCAACCTTTAACTGATTTAATTGATTTGGAAGATTTTTCTAGCTAGTTTTAACTCTGAAAATTTCCTACTTTTGTATCATCAGAAAAAAGCACTTGTCACTTTTGTAGAAAACCCAAAATTGAAAACAATGAGCTTGTCAAGATAGAGATCTTATTCTTTCTTTATCAGACAAATCTTATAAGGGTATCGTTGTGAATCAAATATGCCACTCTATGAATGTAGGATTAGTTTTCATACAATCACTGTGACAGTATGAAAAAACCATAATACAGTAAAAATATTTTTGAAAAAAATACTTAGACTGCTGAAATATAATACTGAAATATAGCCTACTGAAATATAATACTGAAATATAGACTACTGAAATATAATAAAGAAACATAGACATGATTGTGAAAAACAGTTCGACTACTGAAATATAGGCATGATTGTTAAAATTAGTTAGACTACTGAAATATAGGCATGATTGTGAAAAATAGCTACTGAAATATAGGCATGATTGTTAAAAATAGTTAGACTACTGAAATAAAGGCATGATTGTTAAAAATAGTTAGACTACTGAAATATAGGCATGATTATTAAAAATAGTTAGACTACTGAAATATAGGCATGATTGTGAAAAATAGTTAGACTACTGAAATATAGGCATGATTGTGAAAAATAGTTAGACTACTGTAATATAGGCATGATTGTGAAAAATAGTTAGAATACTGAAATATAGGCATGATTGTTAAAAAATAATGCACAATCGTAATAAGGTCTTCATGCAGTGTGAAAGAAAGCAAATTCAGTGTTATCAAGGCCTTAAAATCAAGGCATGGCATACAATCAAGCATTAGACTTCAGTTGATTTTAAACATGTATAATCTAATTTAATTCAGTAAAGAAAAACTTTCATAAACTAAAACAAACCTTACCGTTTATAAGAAAATTTAAGGAAACAAATAATACTGTTCATTGCTTTTAAACGCATACTTTTAATAGCTGGCTTAGTAAAGGAATTTTTTGTACAAGAATTAAGATATAAAGAAAATTTAAATTTAGTTATTGAAACAATAACTTTTCGAATCCTTATATCTTTATCTTTGCAATCTGATGATATACACTTTGATAATTTAACCTTAGCTTATTTGATCTCACAGAATTCACATTTTGAAATATTTTAATATTAGAAAATTAGTGTTTGTGGCTAAAACTAAATTCCTTTCTATCTAAGAGGTATAATTTTCAGACAAATGTCTAACGGAATAATGTTGCGAAAGAAGAAAACAACTGCGGATAAATCTGGGAATATGAACGAAAACGAGGCGGCAGCAGCAATTCAGGTAAGGATGGTCAAAATTCAGGTATAAATGGTCAAAATTCAGCAGGAATAAATGGTCAAAATTCAGGTATATATGGTCCAAATTCAGGTATAAATGGTCAAAAATCAGGTATAAATAGTCAAAATTCAGGTATAAATGGTCAAAATTCAGGTATAAATGGTCAAAATTCAGGTATAAATGGTCAAAATTCAGGTATATATGGTCAAAATTCAGGTATAAATGGTCAAAATTCAGGTATAAATAGTCAAAATTCAGGTATAAATGGCCAAAATTCAGGTATAAATGGTCAACATGTAGGTATAAATGGTCCAAATGCAGGTATAAATGATCAAAATCCAGGTAAAAGAGTCAATAGTCAGGCGTAATGAGTAAAATTCAGATTAAAAGTTTAGTTCAGGTATAAATGGTCAATATTCAGGTATAAAAAGTCAAAATCATATATACAGAGTTAAAATTCAGGTAAACTAGAATTGCCATTCGTTATTTGAACCGATCGTTCCCTTATAAGCTGTGCCCAGTGGGGAAGGGGAGGGGAAAAGTGAAGGGAAAGGGTGGAGGAACGTGAGGGGAAAAGGTGGAGGAAAGTGAAGGGAAAGGGTGGAGGAACGTGAGGGGAAAGGGTGGAGGAAAGTGAAGGGAAAGGGTGGAGGAAAGTGAAGGATGACAGTTTGATGGCATTGTGCTTAGTTAATTACAGTGATGAATTGAGATTGTCATCATAACTCTTCAATTAAAGACCATAATAAGAAATTCACATCTACCTTTGCAGACTGTTTATCCTTGTCCTTACTGTTTAAGCGGTTCAATTCACATCTACCTTTGCAGCCCGTTTATCCTTGTCCTTACTGTTTAAACGGTTCAATTGCAAATTATTTAACGTTGACCTTTTTAAAAAACCGTTTTTAACACAATTAACCTAATAATTCATAAAAGTCAAATTAATAATTCCTGAAAATCTTTGCCACAAACTCTTTTTCGTAGACCTTAGATATTTTAAACTTTGAATTCTGCTTTATAAAGTATGAAGTATCTAAGGCTTAATCCATCAGGTTGCCAAGATATAAGGATTAGAAGATTTGAGTTTGTGGTAATATTTTTTTGAAATAGTATTATTTTGTTTTGTTAGGCCTGGTTCCAGGGAAATGTTTCAAGGATGGAAAATGAAAAAGAAGAAGTCCTCTCTGTCATGCAAACTGGAGAAACTGGAGCTGCAGGGTAGGTTTAAACTGGAGAAACTGGAGCCGCAGGGTAGGTTTAAACTGGAGAAACTGGAGCTGTAGGGTAGGTTTAAACTGAAGAAACTGGAGCTGCAGGGTAGGCTCAAACTGGAGAAACTGGAGCTGCAGGGTAGGTTTAAACTAGAGAAACTGGAACTGCAGCTTAGATTTAAACTGGAGAAACTGGAGCCGCAGGGTAGGTTTAAACTGGAGAAACTGGAGCTGTAGGGCAGGTTTAAACTGAAGAAACTGGAGCTGCAGGGTAGGTATAAACTGGAGAAACTGGAGCTGCAGCTTAGGTTTAAACTGGAGAAACTGGAGATGCAGCTTCGGTTTAAACTGGAGAAACTGGAGCTGCAGGGTAGGTCAAAACTGGAGAAACTGGAGCTGCAGGGTAGGTTTAAACTGGAGAAACTGGAGCTGCAGGGTAGGTTTGAACTTGAGAAACTGGAGCTGCAGGGTAGGTTTAAACTGGAGAAACTAGAGCTGCAGCTTAGGTTTAAACTGGAGAAACTGGAGCTGCAGCTTAGGTTAAAACTGGAGAAAATGGAGCTGCAGGGTAGGTTAAAACTGGAAAAACTGGAGAAGCTGGAGCTGCAGGGTAGGTTTAAACTGGAGAAACTGGAGCTGCAGGGTAGGTTTAATTGGAGAAACTGGAGCTGCAGGGTAGGTTTAAACTGGAGAAACTGGAGCTGTAGGGTAGGTTTAAACTGAAGAAACTGGAGCTGCAGGGTAGGTCAAAACTGGAGAAACTGGAGCTGCAGCTTAGGTTTAAACTGGAGAAACTGGAGCTGCAGGGTAGGTTTAACTGGAGAAACTGGAGCTGCAGGGTAGGTTTAAACTGGCGAAACTGGAGCTGCAGGGTAGGTTTAACTGGATAAACTGGAGCTGCCGGTAGGTTTGAACTGAAGAAACTGGAGCTGCAGGGTAGGTTTAAACTGGAGAAACTGGAGCTGCAGGGTAGGTTTAACTGGAGAAACTGGAGCTGCAGGGTAGGTTTAAACTGGAGCTGCAGGGTAGGTTTGAACTGAAGAAACTGGAGCTGCAGGGTAGGTTTAAATTGGAGAAACTGGAGATATAGGATAGGTTTATCTGGAGAAACTGGAGATGCAGGGTAGGCTTAAACTGTAGAAATTTTAGCTGCAGGGTAAGTTTAAACTGAAAACACTGGAGCTGTAGGGTAGGTTTAAGTTGGAGATATTGGAGCTGCAGGGTAGATTCAAACTGGAGAAACTGGAACTGTAGGATAGGTTTAAACTGAAGAAACTGGAGCTGCAGGGTAGGTTTAAACTGGAGAAACTGGAGCTGCAGCTTAGGTTTAAACTGGAGAAACTGGAGCTATAGGGTAGGTTTAAACTGGAGAAACTGAAGCTGCAGGATAGGTTTAAACTGGAGAAACTGGAGCTATAGGGTAGGTTTGAACTGGAGAAACTGGTGCTGCAGGGTAGGTTTAAACTGAAGAATTTGGAGCTGCAGGGTAGGTTTAATCTGGAGAAACTGGAGCTGCAGGGTAGGTTTAAACTGGAGAAACTGGAGCTGCAGGGTAGGTTTAAACTGGAGAAACTGAAGCTGCAGGATAGGTTTAATCTGGAGAAACTGGAGATATAGGGTAGGTTTGATTGGAGAAACTGGAGCTGCAGGGTAGGTTTAAACTAGAGAAACTGGAGCTGCAGGGAAGGTTTAAACTAAAGAAATTGGAGCTGCACGGTAGGATTAAACTGAAGAAACTGAAGCTGCAGAGTAGGTTTAAACTGGAGAAACTTGAACAGGATAGGTAGGTTTATACTGGCCGGAGAAACTGGAGCTGCAGGATAGGTTTAAGCTGGAGAATATGGAGCTGAAGATTAAGTTTATAACTGGAAATTTAATGAAAGCACGATTTTCAATATTTCTGAGAAAAAAGTTAGTTTTACAATATACTGTTTAGATTTAACAGTAGTAAGAGAATGTCTCGTCGTAAGACTGTTAGAATGAACAATCTTGTTCCTGATTCTAAACAACTCATGAAGGTAAAAATGTTTTTAAATAAAAATTGCTTGACTAAATTACAAAAAAATGCTTATACTTTTTATTCTTTGTATTTTCAGACGGATGCAGGAAATCAAGAATTTTTTGTTGAAGGCAAATGGAAGGCCTATCTCAAGGGGATAGTTGACATTCAAGTAAAAAATATTTTGTTATCGGCCTTCAATATATTTCAACCCACCCCACTATCTTAATTGTTTTGTTTTTAAGCCCTATAAAATTATTATTAAAAAATGCTCCCAACCCCCTTTTCTCTTTTAATAAGAAAGGTTGGTCACAGCAATTGCAAATTGTGCAAAGTAGTACTTCGTACACCTTTCTCCGGCACAGACCCATTTCACCTAACCTATTCCACCCCAGCATATCGTGGTTTTCAAGTACCCCAGCAGAGATAGGGTTAATAAACTGATTTTCTTGCTTACGGTAACACTATATTCTTTATAATGCCATCAAACTTACTTAAATGACGTCTTCTACGAAAATTTTCCAAATTAAGCCACATTTTTTGTGAGTAATTTACATTTTACTTTTCCAGGGAAGAATGTCAGGGCCATTCACTCTACTGATAAACTATAACAACAGAAACCCAGCTTTTGACAAGTAGGCTGATATACTTTATATACATATATAATATTATCCACAAACTATAATTTGACAAGTAGGCTGATATACTTTATATACATATATAATATTATCCACAAACTATAATTTGACAAGTAGGCTGATATACTTTATATACATATATAATATTATCCACAAACTATAATTTGACAAGTAGGCTGATATACTTTATATACATATATAATATTATCCACAAACTATAATTTGACAAGTAGGCTGATATACTTTATATACATATATAATATTATCCACAAACTATAATTTGACAAGTAGGCTGATATACTTTATATACATATATAATATTATCCACAAACTATAATTTGACAAGTAGGCTGATATACTTTATATACATATATAATATTATCCACAAACTATAATTTGACAAGTAGGCTGATATACTTTATATACATATATAATATTATCCACAAACTATAATTTGACAAGTAGGCTGATATACTTTATATACATATATAATATTATCCACAAACTATAATTTGACAAGTAGGCTGATATACTTTATATACATATATAATATTATCCACAAACTATAATTTGACAAGTAGGCTGATATACTTTATATACATATATAATATTATCCACAAACTATAATTTGACAAGTAGGCTGATATACTTTATATACATATATAATATTATCCACAAACTATAATTTGACAAGTAGGCTGATATACTTTATATACATATATAATATTATCCACAAACTATAATTTGACAAGTAGGCTGATATACTTTATATACATATATAATATTATCCACAAACTATAATTTGATAAGTAGGCTGATATACTTTATAAACATATAATATTTTCCACAAACTATAATTTGCTAACTATTTGATCTAGTATATTAATAAAAATTAAAGATTCAGGCGATGAATTTGCTGAAGAATATTCTCATTTAAATATTCTCATTTAAATATTCTCATTTAAATATTCTCATTTAGAAATTCTCATTTAGATATTCTCATTTAGATATTCTTATTTACATATTCTCATATAGATATTCTCATTTAAATATTCTAATCTAGATATTCTCATTTAGATATTCTCATTTATGTATTCTCATTCAGATATTCTCATTTAGATATTCTCATTTAGATATTCTCAATTAGATATTCTTATTTACATATTCTCATATAGATATTCTCATTTAAATATTCTCATCTAGATATTCTAATTTAGATATTCTCATTTATATATTCTCATTTATATATTCTCATTTAGATATTCTCATTTAGATATTCTCATTTAGATATTCTCATTCAGATATTTTCATTTAGATATTTTCATTTAGATATTCTTATTTATATATTCTCATTTAGATATCCTTATTTAGATATTCTCATTCAGATATTCTTATCTAGGTATTCTCATTTAGATATTCTCATTTGGATATTTTCATTTAGATATTTTCATTTATATATTCTCATTTAGATATTCTCATTTAGATATTTTCATTTAGATATTCTCATTTAGATATTCTCATTAAGATATTCTCATTTAGATATTCTCATTTAGATATTTTCATTTAAATATTCTCATTTATGTATTCTTATTCAGATATTCTTATTTAGATATTCTCATTAAGATATTTTTATTTAGATATACTCTTTTAGATATTCTCATTTAGATATTTTTATTTAGATATTTTTATTCAGATATTTTTATTCAGATATTCTCATTTAGATATTCTCTTTCAGATATTCTCATTTAGATATTCTCATTTAAATATTCTCATTCAGAAATTCTCATTTAAATATTCTCATATAAATATTTTCATTTCAATATTCTCAGTCAGATATTCCCATTGAGATATTCTTATTTAGATATTTTCTTTCAGATATTCTCAATTAGATATTCTCATTTAGATATTTTCATTTATATATTCTCATTTAGATATTCTCATTTAGATATTTTTATTTAGATATTCTCATTTAAATATTCTCATTTAGATATTCTCATTTAATTAATCTCATTTAGATAATCTTATTTAGATATTTTTATTCAGATATTCTCAATAAGAAGTTAGTTTTCGATCAAAGTTGTCTAGTTTTTTTGTCAATCTACAAAAAATATTTTCATTTAAATATTCTCATTAAGATATTCTCATTTAGATATTTTTATTTAGATATTCTTATTTAGAATTTAGATATTTTCATTTAGATTTTCTCATTTAGATATGCTCATTTAGATATTTTCATTTAGATATTTTCATTTAGATATTCTCATTTAAATATTCTCATTTAGATATTCTCATTTGGATAATTTTATTTAAATATTTTCATTTAAATATTCTCATTTAGATATTCTCATTTAAACATTTTTATTTAGTTATTCTTATTTAATTAATCTCATTTAGATATTCTCAGTTAGATATTTTTATTCAGATATTCTCATTTAGATATTCTCATTTAGATATTCTCATTTAGATATTCTCATTTATATATTCTCATTTAGATATTCTCATTTTGATATTCTCATTTAGATATTCTCATTTAGATATTTTCATTTAGATATTTTCATTTAGATATTTTCATTTAGATAACCTTATTTAGATATTCTCATTCAGATATTCTTATCTAGGTATTCTCATTTGGATATTCTCATTTAGATATTTTCATTTAGATATTTTCATTCAGATATTCTCATTTAGATATTCTCATTTAGATATTTTTATTTAGATATTCTCATTTAAATATTCTCATTTAGATATTTTCATTTGGATACTTTTATTTAAATATTTTCATTTAAATATTCTCATTTAGATATTCTCATTTAGATATTTTTATTTAGATATTCTTATTTAGATATTCTCATTTAGATATTCTCATTTAGATATTCTTATTTAGATATTCTCATTTAGATATATTCATATAAATATTTTCATTTAGATATTTTCATTTAGATATTCTCATTTATATATTCTCATTTAGATATTCTCATTCAGATATTCTTATCTAGGTATCCTCATTTAGATATTTCATTTAAATATTCTCATTTAGATATTCTCATTTAGATATGCTCATTTAGATATTTTCATTAAGATATCTTCATTTAGATATTCTCATTTATATGTTCTCATTTAGATATGTTTATTTAGATATTCTCATTTAAATATTCTCATTTAGATATTCTCATTTGGATATTTTTATTTAAATATTTTCATTTAAATATTCTCATTTAGATATTCTCATTTAGATATTTTTATTTAGATATTCTTATTTAGTTAATCTCATTTAGATATTCTCAGTTAGATATTTTTATTCAGATATTCTCATTTACATATTCTCATATAGATATTCTCATTTAAATATTCTCATCTAGATATTCTCATTTAGATATTCTCATTTATGCATTCTCATTTACATATTCTCTTATAGATATTCTCATTTAAATATTCTCATCTAGATATTCTAATTTAGATGTTCTCATTTATATATTCTCATTTAGATATTCTCATTTAGATATTCTCATTTAGATATTCTCATTCATATATTTTCATTTAGATATTTTCATTAGATATTCTTATTTATATATTCTCATTTAGATATCCTTATTTAGATATTCTCATTCAGATATTCTTATCTATGTATTCTCATTTAGATATTCTCATATGGATATTTTCATTTAGATATTTTCATTTAGATATTCTCATTTAGATACTCTCATTAAGATATTCTCATTTAGATATTCTCATTTATATATTCTCATTCAGATATTCTCATTTAGATATTCTCATTTAGATATTTTCATTTATATATTCTCATTTAAATATTCTCATTTAGATATTTTCATTTAGATATTCTCTTTTAGCTATTCTCATTTAGATATTTTTATTTAGATATTTTTATTCAGATATTTTTATTCAGATATTCTCATTTAGATATTCTCATTTAAATATTCTCATTCAGATATTCTTATTTAAATATTCTCATATAAATATTTTCATTTAGATATTCTCATTTAATTAATCTCATTTAGATAATCTTATTTAGATATTTTATTAAGATATTCTCAATAAGAAGTTAGTTTTCGATCAAAGTTGTCTAGTTTTTTTGTCAATCTACAAAAAAACATTACAATTCACAATTCTTTTAATATATTTTAGCGATTATACGAAGTATCCCTCGTACTGTGCTCTACACGTGGATAAAGGAAGAGCTTGGTTTTCGGTCAAACTTGATGGCAAGGTGACATTAAAAAGTTAAATAGAAAGTAATTGAGTTTTTGCTTCAACTCTGATTTTCTATTCTCTATATCTTTGCAACCAAATGCGGTAGACTTTTGACATTTCAAACTATGAGTGCAGTAAGGTTTAATAATCCAAGTTTTAAATATTAAAGGTTTACACCATCAAGTTACAAATATATAGGGATTACAGAATTTGGGTTTGTGGCAAAAACTCAAATTATTTTGGGAAGTTGTGTTCTGTGGCGAGAAAAGAGAGGTCGGATTTAAAAATCGCGAGAGGAAGTCAAGTTTCCTAAATGTGGGTCATTAACGTTCATTCTTAACGTGCATCCTCCCTGTAGTGTAGGTCCTTGCTATTATTGTGTAACTTTTAATTATCAAATATCATTCATCTTTCAGGAAAAGGATCTGAGTGATCTAACTGATGTAGTTGTGAGCAACATGGATTTAGGTCTCGATGATTACACTATACAGACATACTGGCTCAGTTATGATAGGTGAATACAAATTTACTAAAAGATCTTGAGCTGGGAACCTTTGAGTTATTTACTAATAATCCGATCGTTTGATCTCGATATTCACAGTGAGTACTTTTGATTTGAGGATTAAGACATGATCTCTTGATTTCAGTTATCCCTTAGGGGAAAATTATGCTGCGGGTTTCAAATTCGCGGATAAACAAAAGATCCAAATCAAGCATTGATCTCGATATCCACAATACAAAATCAAGCGTTGATCTCGATATCCACAACACAAGAGTTCACAGCTGTTATAAATTCATCTATCGAAAAAAATATGACTATAAACAGTGATAACAAAAAATGGGTGAATTCTTGTCATCTTTTAGTTCTTTGAATTAAAAAAAAATCCCTGGGATGTAATCAGTTGCAACAACTACCAATTATTAAATACTTATACTACAATTCTTAAGTTAAAGAAATAACAAAGATGACATTCATTCAACTCTTTAGTGGTTCTACTTGTATACATACATCCTTACTTACAAAGGATGAAACTGTAAAAAGAACCCAAAACTTAAAAAAATATGACGAATTGAAGCTTGATTTTTGTTTTCTGCACTCAATAAAGTATTCTGGTGGTATACTAAATTGACAAGCATAGAAATATGCCAGTTTTGGTCTACAAGGAACCCTGAATGTAAGCAAATTGACTAAACAAATTCCGTACAATCGTCTCTGAAGTCTCATCCTTTGTTGGTAACCCTGTATTTCAAGATAAATATATCAATTTATGGAATTAATGCAATACAATTTGAAAATACAAAAGAACAATAAAATATAATTTTAAAAACATATTTAATTTTTTAGAGATAATTTAACCCTGAAGTATGGGAAAGGATACGCTATGGTAGAAACCACTCTTCTCATCTGTGATTTATCTGAAGGGGCAAATACTGCTGAGAAATTAGCTAAGAAGCGTAAGCAGGTAAGCCCCCTTCTATCTTCACTCTCTCACCCCCCTCTTCTCTAAAACCTATGGACGCCTTAAAAAAAGGAGTTTTCACAACAACAACAACATAATTAGATTATGAATCGACCGATACTTTTTTCATATTTATCCAATTTTTCTGTAACAAAATTTTCAGAAACATCGAATAAAATTAGTATTAGTTCTTAGAATTTACCCACAGCAGATAAAATATAACAGTTTTTCTGTCAAGATTATTATAACATATAAATATAAAAATGTTTTAGTGGAACACTATGTTTGGAATCTATGACGAGAAGAGAGGAAATGATTTAAGTATACTCCTGTACAGGGCAAAGGGAGATAATCTACTCAATACTAAAAAAGTTCTCAAAGGTTAGAAAAATATCGGGATTAAATTTACAAACCAATTTTTTGCCCGGCGGTTGGAACTTTTGTGTGGAGTTGTTTAACAGGCTTGATCTCGATACCCAATTTGTAGACCCGGTGGAATAGGGTCAATTTGTAGACCCGGTGGACTAGGGTCAATTTGTAGACCCGGTGGACTAGGGTCAATTTGTAGACCCGGTGGACTAGGGTCAATTTGTAGACCCGGTGGACTAGGGTCAATTTGTAGACCCGGTGGAATAGGGTCAATTTGAATTCGAACTGAACCGACCAGGGAACAGGAACCGACCAGTCCAATAAGATTATCAAATTAATCTTTTACCAGGTGAGGTTGCCGGATACATCAACATGGAGAGTGTTATGGAAGTTAGGAAGGAACCTCTCACTGCTAACCCTTCACCCTTCGTCCTGGATTCAGAGAGAGCTACCTTAAACATTATTGATAAAGGTCTTTACATCTTTTCTTCTGAACTTCCAGTTGCATGCAAGGTAAATACACAATAAACATGGAAATCAAGAGAGGATTTTGATGTCGTCTTTGTGAATTTTTTAAATTAAGCAATTAAGTATAATGCCTACTAAGACAGCTGTAATTATGAGAAATTGCAGAGTTTTCAACCACATCATACAACCTTTAACTGTTTAAATAATTATATTATGACTATTTGAATTATTATATGATTCTTTACAAGGACAATATCGAAGTCGTCACCTCACCCCGGACTAACCAGAGTTAAAGGCATTCGGTTTCTTCTATTTGAAATCATACGCGTTTTGGTTTATATTTTAACAATCTTTAAAGTTACAGATTTGTTTGCTTAATACTTTTTATTCAAAACGTATATGATTTAAGAAAGAAGGCTGAAAAATTATGTTTAATAGGAGAAATTGTGATCGAAAGTCATAACTTTCTGGAATATTGACAGAACCATTAAATCCACGTGACCTTTATACCTAAGATGCCTTATCTACAGAAAGAAGACATTTCAGCAATCATATCTGTATTTGATGTATAGGTGCTGTATGATACTATAAAGAAGTGTGATATAGATCTAGAGTTTGAAATGGGAACTATGGATGTAAAGATGAGTGATGCTATCAGGTAAAGATGAGTGATGCTATCAGGTAAAGTAAAGATGAGTGATGCTATCAGGTAAAGATGAGTGATGCTATCAGGTAAAACAACTTTCATGTTTTTTCTTCAAATGTGTGTGCACTGTGCAGTTTATAGAGACCGTTCTTGTACTTTCACGTGACCTTTCATTTTAAAAGAGTAATGACCAATTCACAACTTGTCCTTAAAGTTAAAATATACAAATCAATTAAAAGCTAGAGAATCCACATTTGAAAGTTTTAAAGAGAAATCATGGATGTCTCAATTAACCATTATTGATCAAAAAAGCTTAAAAGGTACTGTTGTGAATCAAACATGCTTAAATAGAGAGTCATTTATACAATACCCCTATTACATGAATATGAGATAGAACTCTTCTCACCAAACCAGAAGTTCATTGAAGCGATAAACAAGATCCTTATTGGCTGAGAATAGATTTTTCTGGATTCTAACTGGACGTACTGTGATTTTGTGGGTTTTTTGTAATTCTCTTTTTGTGGCTATGAATATGATTTGCTGGACATTTATTGATATCTATATAAACAGAGGAGAAAGGTTGAAAATTAATTTAATCCGTATAATTGTTACTTGAGGGATTAGCAATTTAAAAGATGTGACCTGTGATGAATTTTCAATTAAAATCAGATTTATTTTAGATTTCGTATAAATACTGAGGGAGCCCTGTTGAACAAGATTTATTTTAGATTTAGTATAAATACTGAGGGAGCCCTGTTGAACAAGATTTTAAAGAAGAAACCCTATCTACGAATAACTATGGGAAGGGGAATGGGAGAATCCCCTGGTATTCCCTATGTTCTAGAAATCTGGCCAAAAGGTTAAAAAACTCATTTTCAAATATGGATTATTTTAGTTGAGCAGACTTGATTTGTGATTTGTCTTAGTCTTTTAATCATCTGATTGTGTTAAATTAACCATCATATAAACATTTAGTAGGGCGGAGGTTGATATTTATTTGTTATTATTGTCATAACATATAGGGGGTGAGGGAGGGGGGGATATTTATTCTTAAATTTTTTCTTGCAATTCCATCAATCAATTTTGTGATTGTAAACTCTATCTGTATACAGATACATTTATTTTAGCAATAAACTTTATCTTATCTTATCTTATCTTATCAATGATTTTTAATTACTTTTATGTTGTATTGTATCCTAGTTCTTAATCGTGCACCATCACAATTAATTGTGTAGGCTTTAATTCTGATCTAAAAATAGACCACCTTTCATATATTTTGAATCCAAGAAATTTTTTCCAGATTTTTTAATGTTATCTAGATATTTTTTGCAGGTTCCAGAAGCCCGATTCATAACCATGGAGCTGTTTGTGCCGTTATCAAGGTTCTTTTTGGCACAATACAGTCAGGAATCTATAATAAGGTATAATGGCACAGTCCAGTCAGGATATTTTGGCACAATACAGTCAGGAATCTATAATAAGGTATAATGGCACAATCCAGTAAGGATATTTTTGCACAATACAGTCAGGAATCTATAATAAGGTATTATGGCACAATGCAGTCAGGATATTTTGGCACAACACAATTAATGCCAATGAATCTATGGTACGGTGTTTTGGCACTGAATTCAGTTCAGATTTTAAGATAAGATTTTTGCACAATTCAGTCAGGAATTTATAAAAAGGAATATTGGCACAATTCAGCAGAAATCTATAATATGGGTTCTTGGCACATTCTAGTCAGGAAATTTTGGCACAACGCAATGAAGTCCTATGACTCTCTGACAATGCTTTTTGGCATTCATTCAAAAACTCAAGATAAGATTTTTTGGCACAATTCAGCCAGGGATCTAAAATAAGATATTCTTAAAAAATAAGAATTTTATTAATCTCAGAAATTTTAAAAGGTAACAAGTTCTGTTTTGGATACAAAAGGAAACTTTAAACCAGCGGAACTTTTCAAATTCAACGCATTTAAAAACGAAGTCACCTGGATGAGTCCTGAATGGTAAGATGATTCATTTTAAATTTAAATATTATTGAACTTTTGAAGCTGAGAGAGTCAAGATAAAGTTGATATTTTTGGAATGAAATTGATACCGCTTAAAATAAATTTTATGAAAAACTTAATTTTTGTCATATCTTTTAAATACATGAAACCGTGAAACGATCTTTTTATACGAATTCATCCAAAACAATTCTATTTGTAATTGTTCTAGCTGGTGAACCTCTGCAAAAAAGTCCACAATATTTTAAATCTATATTAGTATTTTTAATAAAAGAAAAAGCAGAGACGACAATATTTTTCCTGCTTATATTTCAACTATTAGGTATCAAACTCATCAACTCAGAAACGTTTCTGACGACTACTGCGCAACTGTGCAGTGCTACAGATATGATGACAAAGACGACATTCAATGGAACCAATTTGATTTTGTCAAGGTAATCAAAATACAAAACTTGGAATTTGAAAAGAGCTTGTTAGAAATCAAAACTAAAACAAAAAAATCGTCTTCATTGTATTGATATAAACGCTGACCACTATATGTATATAGGACGAGAACGGCGAGGTGGGAAATTTCTTCCCTAACACCGACTTGACCTTCGGGGAGATGCGGGACAAGGTCATGAAGGAGTGGGAGAATAGAATGGGACTCTAGTCAAGAAAGGCAGGGCTATTTATTTTTATTGATTTTAATCCCCCCCCCGCCCCCCCGCCTCCAGAAAAATAAAAATTATGGAGTAAAAGTTCCTTTTTTCAATTTTCCAAAACAATTTAAAATTTCCCCATAAAATAATAATTTAGCAATGAAGTTATATTTTGAGGATTAATTATTTTCAAAAATAAATAGTATACCGCTAGAGAAAGAAGAAGAGCTTCGGAGTGAAATTGCAGAAACTTATTTCTTTGCCTTAAATTAACGTGACTTCAGTAAAAACTGAGCTTATCTGCTTATTTTGATAATAGTGTAACAAATTTTTCTTCTGTAACTCTAGAAGATAGCGAATGAACAAAAATGTCATTTTATATAAAAAATAAAATGTAATATTTAGTTTTTTGAGAATTGTAAATCTAGCTCTTAAATATGATTTTTAGAATAAAAGTTATTTTTAATTGTTATTCAATCTTATGTAAGAAAACATTAAGATGGACAATAAATGTAACTTGTAAGGATTTCCGGTCCCAAAACCCTGCCAAAAAGTCCCGAAAATAGAGCATCTTCTTGCAGTACCGTATAAAACAAAACAAAAAGTTTGCGGATTTCATAATATTTTTAGCGAATTTTCAAAATTTTACTAAAATAAAAAACTTTAAACACAATTTTTTGAAATTTTGATCAGTCATAAACCTTCCCTGGGGTCACGTGAGGTTCCACACAAAATATGATCTCGATCGGTTCAGCCGTTTTGACGTTTATTGGACACAAACAAACACTCATCACCCAAGCTAAGTATTTGTAACATAAATGTCGATAAGAACTTGGTTTTTTGCAACTGTTACATCTAAAACACAGGGTTACCCACAAAGTATGCGATTAAGAGACGACCCTAATCTCTTAAGAAATGTATTTCTGGGTTGGATTTGGTCTTTTGCCCAGAATACAATCTTTTAATGGTTTATTAAATGGTTTGATTTAATAAATGTGTACATTTTCGCAATGTCCTAGGTCCAAATTCGCTTTTCAAACTCCACTTTATTTTCGGGACCACTGTAAGCTTTGCTTTATCTCTGATGATTAATTCCATTCTTTCTAAAGGTATTTTACCTTGAAGATTTCCCCTTTATCCAGCTTATATATAGTTTAAAGATTGAATAAAAATATAAAGTTCGTTATCTAGCATATTCAGGAGGTCCCCCCCCCCCCGACACACTGAAGAATTATTTCTTTAATCCCTTCCACAAAATAATCCAGTGAACGGAGGAAGGGGGGGGGGGAGAAAGAGAAGGAGGAAAAAGAGTATTAGGGTACGGAAGGGTAGGAGAAAATTGAAAGTGGTTTAGTTTATGTATAACTTTAAACCCACTAAAAACTCTTTATTTTTATTTTAGCAAACGTTTTTAAATTAGAGTTGAGTCTATAAATGAATTCGTAATCTGAATCATAGCATTTTTGAAAGCCAAAGTTAAAAGCATGGATTGCAGATACATTTCTAAAACGTGGAGAACCTACCACCCCCCCCCCCCCCCAAAAAAAAAAAAAATACTCCGGGGGGGGGTCTCAATTATCTGGTACCGCCCCTCCCCATAGTATTTTAAGATATAAATCCAAAAGTATTGTTATAGTAGAAATTGCATTTCTCTCTAATTGCACTTAAAAAACCTCCCCAGAGACCGAAAAACTATCAATCTTGCCTCATATCATAAAATATCTATAAACGGATTCATTCAAAGATGCAATAGTAGAAGATTTAGATACAGGAATTTACCAATTTACCCAATTAGATATCAAAGATAAGAAATTTTTGCATATTTGCTGGGTGAAGGGATTTTCAAAAATGTAAGGTAGGGATGGAATAGAATGGTAAGCCCAAGAAGATTCTCAGGGGATTAATGGAATGGGAAGGGAAGGGATGGGAGTGGATGAGAAGGATAGAGTCAAGATAAAAAAGGGAGAAAGGAATAGGAAGGAAAGGGATGGGAGTAGATGAGAAGGATAGAGTCAAGATAAAAAAGGGAGAATGGAATAGGAAGGGAAGGGATGGGAGTAGATGAGAAGGATAGAGTCAAGATAAGAAGAGGGAGAATGGAATGAGAAGGGAAGGGATGGGAGTAGATGAGAAGGATAGAGTCAAGATAAAAAAGGAAGAATGGAATGGGAAGGAAAGGAAAGGGATGGGAGTGGATGAGAAGTATAGAGTCAAGATAAGAAGAGGGAGAATGGAATGAGAAGGAAAGGGATGGGAGTAGATGAGAAGGATAGAGTCAAGATAAAAAAGGGAGAATGGAATAGGAAGGGAAGGGATGGGAGTAGATGAGAAGTATAGAGTCAAGATAAGAAGAGGGAGAATGGAATGAGAAGGAAAGGGATGGGAGTAGATGAGAAGGATAGAGTCAAGATAAAAAAGGGAGAATGGAATAGGAAGGGAAGGGATGGGAGTAGATGAGAAGTATAGAGTCAAGATAAGAAGAGGGAGAATGGAATGAGAAGGGAAGGGATGGGAGTAGATGAGAAGGATAGAGTCAAGATAAAAAAGGGAGAATGGAATGGGAAGGGAAGGGATGGGAGTAGATGAGAAGTATAGAGTCAAGATAAAAAAGGGAGAATGGAATGGGAAGGGATGGGAGTAGATGAGAAGTATAGAGTCAAGATAAAAAAGGGAGAATGAAATGGGAAGAAAAGAAGGATGAAAAGAGAAAGGATGGATTGAGAAGAGTGCAATATAATGAATAAGTAGAAGTGAAGAAGAGGAAGAAGAAATTTTTCTATAAAATCCTCCAAGAATATGAAATTTCTGAACTAAACTATTGAACCCAAACCTTGTAAAATTTGCGTGATGTGGAATCAACAGTTGAGCATTCCCCGGCCCCGTGGTTCTAGGTTTCCTAGTTCTCCCGGGTATCCGGAGACCAGACCTCCGGTAACAGATACCAGAGGACCGAGGTCGGGGAGGGGAGGGTGCGGGATTGGAGTATATCCAGGTCTGATAGGCAGAAGAATACCACATATACTCACGGTACTCCATCGGAGGTAGGTTTACAATACATTCTCTTCCTTAGATATATGTAGGTGGAATGTTTTTGTAATTTTATACATTTTTTTCTTTTTGATCTTTGATCTCTGATCTTTGATCTCTGATCTTTGATCTCTGATCTTTGATCTCTGATCTTTGATCTCTGATCTTTGATCTCTGATCTTTGATCTCTGATCTTTGATCTCTGATCTTTGATCTCTGATCTTTGATCTCTGATCTTTGATCTCTGATCTTTGATCTCTGATCTTTGATCTCTGATCTTTGATCTCTGATCTTTGATCTCTGATCTTTGATCTCTGATCTTTGATCTCTGATCTTTGATCTCTGATCTTTGATCTCTGCTCTCTCCAAGGTTGCTGATGCTTCCCCTGGCTTCTCCCCTCCCAGAACACCAGCCCAGCAGGTCACCTAAGGTCAGCTCAGCTAAAGTCGACTTATATCAGCTTAGTTTGAGTCAGCTAAGACCGGGGGGGTACAACTATCTTATAAGATATTGCTTAGCACCAGAAACTCTAGTTCTTACTCCTAACATTGAGGTTTAATTCGATCATTAAATCTGGAAAACTTCGATCCCGGCATTGTTAAAGTGTCCTGTGTAATGGTGTAGCCATCGAAAGGTAGTATATATATGCTTTATGCTGTAATCACAAGGAATGAAAGTGTAATTTCCATTGACCCTACACATGCAAAGATGAAATTGTTTACTTCAACAAGATAATATAAGCTTGTACTGCATGGTTTATTATTGTAGCTTGAGTAAATTATAACCAATATACAGCTTGTATTGTATGGTTTATTATACCGTCTACGGGGTAAAGTATATCCAATATACAGCTTGTACTATATGGTTTACTATAGCATCTACAGGGTAAAGTATATCCAATATACAGCTTGTACTGTATGGTTTATTATATCATCTACGGGGTAAAGTATATCCAATATACAGCTTGTACTTTATGGTTTAGTATAGCGTCTACGGGGTAATGTATATCCAATATACAGCTTGTACTGTATGGTTTATTATATCATCTACGAGGTAAAGTATATCCAACATACAGCTTGTAATGTATGGTTTATTATAGCATTTACGGAGTAAAGTATATCCAATATACAGCCTGTACTGTATGGTTTATTATAGCATCTACGGGGTAACGTATATCCAATATACAGCTTGTACTGTATGGTTTATTATATCATCTACGGGGTAACGTATATCCAATATACAGCCTGTACTGTATGGTTTATTAAAGTATCTACGAGGTAATGTATATCCAATATACAGCTTGTAATGTATGGTTTATTATAGCATCTACGGAGTAATGTATATCCAATATACAGCTTGTACTGGTTTACTGCACTATTGTATCTACGCAGCCAATAAATGTTCATAGTATGGCTTCCTTTACTACCCCCCCCCCCTGTGACCAGTAATAAGTGTGACCTGATAAAGTAAACATATTTGTACAATTACATTGTTACATATTTATTTTTGCCTCTCTTTCCATTTATCCGTATTTTATTATTTAATTTTTTAAATTTTTAAAAATTCTCAACAAAAATCTGAACAATTTATATATTTTAATTTTGTATACGCTGAAAATGTGCATTTTTACCATTATGTAAGATATTGACACCGACAGAATTTACATGAATTGTTTTTTAATCATTACAAGGCTTTCAGGGCGCTTCGTGCCCATCTTCAATTTCAATTGTAATATTTTGTCTTTGTAAAACAATTTAAAAACAATAACAAAAAATTTAGTGGATTTTCACAGCTTTTTCTGGATGCACAATTGACAAAAAATAAGTTTAAAAGAAACGGATGAAACAATAGTCTAGGCGCAAATAGAAGAAAATAGGTTTAATTATGTTGTATCTAATAAAAAGGTTTATTTCGACTTGATTCTATTATCTTGATTATTTTCTCCTATTAATCGTATAAAGTATGTGATCAAGTTATAACTTCATTACACCCCTCCCCTATCTCCTGTCTATCCCTGGCCTCTCTTCCCGATCATTCTTCATCTAGATCTTTAAATCGTTAAGTTTCTACTACAATAAAGATCTTTAAGTTTCTACTAGCTCTTTAAGTTTTTTTGTAGATCTTTAAGTTTCTACAAAATATTTAAATTTTTACTAGATCTTTAAATTTTACTAGATCTTTAAAGTTTACTAGATCTTTAAGGTTCTACTAGATATTCAATTTTTTACTAGATCTTTATGTTATTACTAGATCTTTAAGTTTCTACTAGATCTTTAAGTTATTACTAGATTATTAAGTTTCTACTACATCTTTGAATTTTTACTCGATCTTTAAGTTTTTACTAGATATTTATGTTTTCACAAAATATCTAAATTTTTCCTGGATCTTTAAGTTTCTACTATATCTTTAAGTTTTTACTAGATCTTTAAAGTTTTACTAGATCTTTAACGTTCTACTAGATCTTCAATTTTTTACTAGATCTTTAAGTTATTACTAGATCTTTAAGTTTCTACTTCGATCTTTAAATTTCTACTTCGATCTTTAAATTTCTACTTGATCTTTAAGTTTCCACTAGAAATCTAAAAATCACTTTAATATAGAAACCACAATTGAAAATAAACAATTTCCAACGTTAAAAACATGAAAATCATTCTTGAATAGGGTAGCATTGTCAATCGGACATATCACTTTATAAATGGGGGGGGTAACAGGCCCTAAATTACTTGTACAGTAACCCTAGGATTGATAGAATTAATAAATGATTATCTATTCAAAATTAAGCATGAGAGACAAACCAAGCTATGCCGCCAAGTTTTGATAAAAAAGTAACTTTTGTTTTATCATATTAACAAAGCAAACATCTAACAGAATATATAGTCTTCATCATATATTCTTATGTATCTCACGCAAGACCAACCAGAGTTTGTATACTTAAAAATTAAAAATGTATAGTCCAATAAAAAAGTATAAAATAGTAAAAGGAAAAAATCTACATTTAATGGATAAAAAAGGTTCTAGAATAAAGGCTGCCTGAAAGTTTTCAGGATTTACTAAGACTTATTTGTATTTTAGGGAATGCATATGTAATTTCAAGATGTTAAGTACTATTTTCCAAAGTGGCAATTTTCCAAGCTTGTGTGCCCTTGGGAAAATGCCTTTGGAAAAATACTTAACATCAATTTGAAGTGATCCTTCATGTATAGTGGGGCATGTGATCCTTCATGTATAGTGGGGCATGTGATCCTTCATGTATAGTGGGGCATGTGATCCTTCATGTATAGTGGGGCATGTGATCCTTCATGTATGGTGGGGTATGTGATCCTTCATGTATAGTGAGGCATGTGATCCTTCATGTATAGTGGGGCATGTGATCCTTCATGTATAGTGGGGCATGTGATCATGTATAGTGGGGCATGTAAGAATTTAACGGAACCCTTTAGACCTTTGTCTGATTGCAATGATATGTAAAAAATATCCTAGCTTTTATGCAGAAGAGAAAATGAAAAAAAGAGAAAAATTGTCAGAATATAACAGTTTTAAAGACAAAAAAGATGTTGTCTTCCTCATTGTGACTCTAAAACAGTTTTTAGAACAGGATGTTGTGAATTTGAAATTTATTAGATAAGGATCACTTTACAGTTACGCCACAGCCCCTTAAAGATTTACAAAGTAAAAAAAAAGAATTTAATTTGTGGTTCTCTGGCGCGTATTTGAAATTTTGGATTTGAATTTTTAAAGAAAACTACAGGGAGAATAAGTGTCAAATAATACCTGGTTTAAGATTGTATTTAATCCAATTACCTTAGGTAGGAATTTTACTCAATTATAAAGGAATTTAAAAATCACTTTCTCGCCCATCTTGTTTTAGACAAAATTTATTTTAATTTAAAATAGTTTTATCAAACCAGGGTTACAAGAAAAAACGAATTGGAGCCAAAAAAAAGAGATGGTTTTTGTTTACATAAAATTAAATATTATAAAAAAGGATAGTTTTTGTTTACATAAAATTAAATATTATAAAAAAGGATAGTTTTTGTTTACATAAAATTAAATATTATAAAAAAGTGATCCTTAAATTCTAGCAGATTTATAAAATGTAGTCAACTTGATATGAGACACAATTCAGAATATTGTATTTACTTTCTTATAGTTTAGCCCAAAACTTTGGAGCCATCAAACTAAGTTATAAAATGTTGTCTTTTAATCCTACTGAGAGTAGAATGCTGCAAATATTTATTTTTTTATCTGAATATTTATATGAAGCACTTTAGGTCTAATAGTAAAAACCATTGAAAAATTGTCAAGACGACATCTTATAAATTCTTTCCGTGTCTCCAAAGTTCTAGGTTAAATTGTATGATTTCTAATTGTTAGATTAAATTTTTTTTATATGTACTTTTTCAGATCAACTTATAACTTTATTTAAACATCTTTTTGTACTCCGTCTTTTTCATACCTTCTTTTTAATTGTATCATGTGTTCTGTGTCATGTCCTCTATTCTTAATTATGTATATTCTGTATCCTGTATGTCTGCATTCTGTATTTTTTTCATGTTCTGTATTGTTTATTATGTATATTCTGTATCCTGTATGTCTGTATCCTGTATTCTATGTCATGCTCTGTATTGTATATTATGTATATTCTGTATCCTGTATGTCTGTATACTGTATTGTGTGCCATGTTCTGTATTGTTTATTATGCATATTCTGTATCATGTATGTCTGTATACTGTTTTTGTGTGTCATGTTCTGTATTGTTTATTATGTATATTCTGTATCCTGTATGTCTGTATCCTGTGTTCTATGTCATGCTCTGTATTGTTTATTATGTATATTCTAGTATCCTGTATGTCTGTATCCTGTATTCTGTGTTATGCTCTGTATTGTTTATTATGTATATTCTGTATCCTGTATGTCTGTATCCTGTATTCTAATGTATATTCTGTATCCTGTATGTCTGTCTCCTGTATTCTGTGTCATGTTCTGTATTGTTTATTATGTATATTCTGTATCCTGAATGTCTGTATTCTGTATTCTGTGTTATGCTCTGTATTGCTTATTATGTATATTCTGTATCCTGTGTGTTGAACATGATTATAACACTAGATCAATATTATCTAAACATTTACACCAATATTATACTGTGAAAGATTATCCAGCGGGGAATCATTATTCATTAATTAGCAGATCTCATTTATTTACTAATGATAAAAAGCAGAAAAATAAACAAACAAAATGTTTACAGGGTGTCAAAGAAAGGTTAGGGGGGAATGTTTCATGCAATGGAATCGAGTTTTCAAATTTTATAATCCCCATATCTTTGCAACCTGATAGTGTAAACTAACTGATCTCCCAGAATTTATTGTTTAAATATAAAGGTCTACGGAATCATGCTATAATTATTTATATATTGAATTATTTCCTTTTTTTAAGCGACTGAAAACCTTTTTAGTATTTTAAACCCGAGTTTTCAAATGTTGATTATCAAGATATTCATCTTGAAGAGAGCACATGACTTTTATACAAAGTTCACATAGTTGGTTAAACATGTTGATACTAAAGACTATATATAAACTATAGGAACAGCTACATATTTTTATAACTATCAAGGTTTACTGAAGGAAAAGTAAACAAACTCAGTTTTGTTTATATTTCTCCCAGAAACTGCAGTACACCTTTTCCTAAAAAATATGCAGGTTCCTGTTCATTGCGAATTAATGCCAAGCGCAAAAATCGAGCAGTAAATTGCCAATTTCTTTTTTAAATTTAAACTAGAAACACGCGCAATGCAATTTTAAAGTGTATATAGAACATCTTTAGGACTAAATAAAGTACATGTGAGTTGGTAAACCCAAAGGCCAAGGTGTTGTGACACTTTACAGTCGAAGATGTCTTAAAATTTGATAAACAACTTTCAGAGCTGTCTAGATGTCAATGTAGTATATTGTATTGAAACAAGGAGTTTGTGAATATTATCATATAAATAGATTTTAAAAATAATATGTTAAAAATGATAGTAGACTGTATTATCTCTTCATAATTATTGGTTTTTTAAAATAATAATCAATTTTTAAATTTAAACTACTTCCATTTCTGCCTTAAAGAACTTTTAAAGTATGGACAAAATTTGGAATTTATAGTTCGAAATAAAACACAAATTTTTTGCCACAAACTCAAATTTTCTAATCTATTTTGTTTTGCAACCAGGTATATAATATTTTAAAATTAGAAAATCAGAACCTGTGGCAAAACTTTATTTCTTCTTGCGAGATATCCTAGAATTTCTATTCTCTATTCTAAACCATTTTATTTTATAACTTTCGGACTTTTTTTATATTTTCCTAGAAGCTCCAAACTTTTGAATAGAAGGAATGAGTTTAACATATTCTCTTTTTACGAGGAGATAAACCAATCTCTCATTGATCAATTCTTCGGAGATGACCAATGAGAGGTTGGTTAATCTCTCCGCTAGGAGAATGAGTTTACCTACTTCTGTTCATTCAAAAGTCTTCTTTTCAGACCTTATAACTTAGAACTATCTGTAGACTTTAACACCTACCTTTTATTTTACAAAAAATTTCAATTTTAAGGATAACTTTTTAAAAAAGCTAGATATTGTCTTTGTGGCTTTATAAAGAAAATTTGCTTAAATTTACTTAATACCCTGCACGAATCCGACCAATGCAAAGATTTTCTTAAAAAGTAAAAAAAAACTACTTTTATCCCTTTAATTAAAATCTGCGTAACTACAGGGTGTCCCAATAAATATCAAATATCGTCTTTGTATATTATTTGTTGATTTAGTGCTGTACTCGTAAAGCTCAAATTCCAATATTCTTCGTCTGCTATAAGAGTTAAGAATTTATTTGTTAATGTTTTTATTGTATACTGTAAAATGATAAATTCCTGTGTAAAAACCAAGGTTGTATAAAAACCTCATACCACGTCACTCACGCCTCCATAATCAGTGACATCATATGAGGTTTTTATCTATCTATCTATATTTTCCGTACATTGGAGTGCATCAAACAACCTTGGTACAAAAAGAGTTGTTTATCTTAAGCTGTTTATCCTACAGAAATGTGACTGTAAAACATCATACAACATTTTTCAGGATAATTAAAAACAACATTTTTACCGTTTACATAAAATATACTAAAGCAGACGTTACTTTATTAGGATCGAGTCATAACCATGTTAAAATTACGTAATACAGCGCTTTTTTTCGTATTCATCACTTAATTCTCATTTGAATGGGTTTATTCACCTAAAAAGCGTATATTTACAAGATATATGTTAAGAAGTAAAAAGCCGGTTTCAATTTAGTGCAGTTTAGCAGGGACAATCTTCACAAACATACATAGCAAATATTAACCTTAGTGAGTTTTATTAAAGGGACAATCTACCCAAACATACATAGCAAATATAAACTTTAAGAGAGTTTTATTAAAGGGACAATCTACCCAAACATACATAGCAAATATTAACTTTAGAGAGTTTTATTAAAGGGACAATCTTCACAAACATAAATAACAAATATTAACTTTAGACAGTTTTATTAAAGGGACAATCTACACAAACATACATAACAAATATTAACTTAGAGAGTTTTATTAAAGCGACAATCTACACAAACATACATAGCAAATATTAACTTTAGAGAGTTTTATTAAAGGGACAATCTACACAAACATAAATAACAAATATTAACTTTAGAGAGTTTTATTAAAGGGACAATCTACACAAAAATACATAACAAATATTAACTTTAGAGAGTTTTATTAAAGGGACAATCTTCACAAACATACATAGAAAATATTACCTTTAGAGAGTTTTATCAAAGGGACAATCTTCTCAAACATACATAACAAATATTTACTTTATAGAGTTTTATTAAAGGGACTCAATGCGTGATTTCCTCTATGCAAAGATGTCAATGTCAGCAATGCGAAAGATATTGTCATTTTTCTTGGTTTAAAAAGTGTTTAATTCTGATAATTGCTTTGTATTTTCCTGCAGTAGAAATGCGCCAGGCACTATTGAAGAGAAAACAAAATTGAAAATAATTTTACAGAATTATAAACATTGATATCTAATTCATAGTTGATCAGACAAAGCTTTAATGGGTATCCAAGTGAGTCGGGTAGTGTCATCTTTGCATTTAAGTGAACGAGCTCTATGAGTTAATCGTTAACAATCTTTAATCGAGTTTTAAAGACTCCCTAGGGTTGAGTTTAACAAGATTTAAGTTTTAACGCATTCTGTAGAAGTCAAGTTTTACGAGTTCATTAATCTAATTTAGACGAGTTCTATCTATTCGTAAATTTTTAACTTCTGTGAGTCAAAGGAATTGAGTCTTTGCCACAAACTCTGATTTTCTAATCCCTATATCTCTGCAACCCAATGTCAGAGATCTTAGATATTTCAAACTAGGCAGTCTGTCAGATCAAATAATCTAAGTTTGAAATATTAAAGGTTTACAACATAGGTGGCTTGGATAAAGGGATTGGAACATTGGAATTTGTTGCAAAGACTCAATTCCTTTGAACAAAGTCTGTGTCGAGCTTTTTATCTAAAAGTAAAAAAACGTTTTTATTATAATTGCAGACGCCCTAACACTATCAAACATTCCCCACACAACCTTCTAAAGCCCCCCTCCCTCTATATTCTCCCCCTCATAGTCTTGATATTGTAAACCGGTGAAGAGAACGAATATTAATTTTAGATAGACTGTCTCCCAGCAAAATGAAGAGTTGAAAAATTGAAAGAAAATGCGAAAGCCAAAACTCGACAAAATTTACAAGTGCAAGAATATGAAAATTTTGGTTTAATTATCTTCTCTCCTTCAAATACATCCCACATTCAATATGCCTAACTTACAGGTAATAATAATAATAATGATAATAATAATAATAATAATAATAGTATTAATAATAATAATAATAATAATAATAATAATAATAATAATAACTATAATTATAAGAATAGTAATAATAATGATAATAATAATAATGATAATAATGATAATAATAATAATAATAATAATAACTATAATTATAAGAATAGTAATAATAATGATAATAATAATAATGATAATAATGATACTAATGATAATAATAATAATAATAATAATAATAATCATAATAATGTTAAGGTTGACTACCTAGAAGTGGAGAATGGGAGAGGGGGAAGCAGGAATGAAGTTTCGAAAATTAACATCGGGGAACCAGATGAAATGGTAGGTTCATATCTCATGTTTATATAATATAGTTGTAATCTCTGTTTAGTTATTTGTCCAACTATCGCTCATGAACCCATTTGCCTAAAATTTTGATTCACGCGGTAAAACCACGGGAACAATCTAAGCTTGGTTTTAAAAAAGCTAAGTTGAGTTCAGGGCAGATTTTTAAAGAGAAAGTGAAGCTAAGGGTTCATAAACTTTAGTTCTTCCCCAAGTAGAAAATATGGTACATTTTGTAGAACTTTGCATGTTTGATATCTTCAAATTCAGTGCTTATACAAAAGAGCCAAATGTAGGCGCGGCGTTGAGACACTTCGCCCCAGCTGAATTAGTTTATACTTAAATAAAGGAAGCAGATTAGATAAAAAAGAATAATTCAGTTAAGCTTTAAAAATTTAATTAAGGGCAATTTTCGAATTTGTTTCGTACTTTTTAATTTAACCTGTAATTTGACGGTGTTGCTTAAACAACCACTTTCCAAATTATCTAAAGTCTGGAGTTAGTTTGCTAAATTAATCTGATGCTCTTTATTTAAATCTTAAATTGCTCAGAATTGGCGTCAAAATCGTCATTTTCTCAAGTTGCCGGTCTTTCTTTTTGTGCCGAAGAAATCCGCGTTTATTTCCTGTTTTGTCCTTCTTCAATAAACATTAAGTTAAGGGGATTCTTTTCACACAGAAAATTTGTAAACCCAAGAACAAATTTAAAAATTAAATCCTGCTGAAATTACATGAATAATATGAGAGGAGAATAATTCAGGTTTGACAAACGGAAATTAAAGAAATTCTAAGGATTTGAAAACTTCTCATTCACAGTTGAACAGGAGAAATGTATGTTAGATAGTTTGTTTTTACGAGAACATTTATGCAAACAATTTAGAATCTTATTCTGCCCTCCTTCTAAAATTAGATCTACGACGGAAACGGTTAAACTGTTAAAGATCTTTTAAATTTGATGGTTTTAATTTAAAAATTCTTCTTCTCTTTTTCATTCATTGTAAACCTCTAGATTGAATTGGAGTTTGGAAATCTTTAAAGGGAGTGTCCGACAATCTATGGTAGTTGAACTGAGAATGTAGTATTGTGGAGAATTGTTTTAGAAATCATTGGAGACATATGAGACTTTTTTACAGTGCATATTTGTTAAGCAAAAGCGTAAATTCAATCTTTAAAATTTTCAAAGATCATTTTTAATGGATGATTTAATTTATGATTTAATGGATGATTTAATGGATGATTTTGAGAATCTGTTTTTAAAAAATTATTCCCTTACGGCTACGGAAAGTGTAGTACATATTCTACAGTAAATTAATTAGTTGTTTAGAAACAGGTTAAAAAATGAAAATTAACAATTATCATCGACAATAAGTGATCTTATTCAGTTATTGGTCTCTGTAATGTCTCAATGTTCACAAACATTTTCTGTAGATTTCCTGGAATTTTTACTAAAACGACATTTGAAGAATTTGAAGAATCTGCGAACTAATTCATACATAAGAAGAAAAATCAATATAATGATGAAAAAGAAATAATTCATTCTAACATTGATTAATTTAAAAAGCTTCAATTGAAAATATATTCCTAAACATCTAATAAGTTTACTGAAGATTTTTTAACAATTTTTTCGTCACTATTTCTCCACAATACTACATTCTCAGTTCAACTACCATACATTGCCGATCACTACCTTTAATACAAAAAACTTTTGTTTTTATGAATATCAACTTTAAAAGATGTTTGAACTGTTTAAACCTATCTCTGATAAAGAACTATATATACCAGGAACCCCATCTTTATTTACATAAAAGTCTTGTGAATCGGGCATTGCCATCTTTGGATAGAGGGTTGATTAAAATTAGTCATTTCCAGCTCCTTTAATGAATCCAAAAATGTTTTAAGTAAAGCTTAAACTGATTTAATTCAATGTATATTGCACTAGCTCTATTGTATTTAAAATTCAAAGTTGTATAATCTTTAACACTTTTATCATTGTAAAAATATATTTTTGGAGCATTCACTGAGAAAAAGTAATTTTCGCAGATTTGAAATAATGAGACAAATTTTCCTATTAAGGAAAACATTGTTTTAACGTTACCCGAGGTCGAATTTAAAGAATTTAGGCCGCAGCTTAAATATGATTAGTTCCACTTAAAATTGTATTCAATGTTTCAAGATTTTAACCGGCTCAATTGAAACCGGTTTTGGGTGAATTTGAGACGCGGCTCAAATTCATTAAATTCAGAATCTGGGCATTCTCTTTAATATTTTTTATAGAGCTATAGTACAGTGAAACCCTCAATAACGAATACATCGAAAGAATTTATCAAATGTCGTATTCTTCACTTTCTGATAATGGAATGTTGCAGATATTTGGTTTTTTAATTAAATGATTATAAGGAACTCTTTAAAACTGTTCCCGCATATTCATGGCTATTTACTTATTTTCGTAAATACTTAAATTTACGTTATATAGTAAAAAACTCATTAAAAAATTGTCAAGACGACATTTGATAAATTCTTTCGATGTCTTCGTTATTAAGGGTTTCACTGTAATTTATCACTAATAATCATTTATGATAGATTTCATTTTAGACGTGCTAAAAAGTAGTCATCATGCTATAACTTTAAATTAGCCATATGATATAGCACCGTGCTTTTTTAACTATAGAAATAGCAATTGTATCAAGACTGATACAAACATACAATTCACAAAATTAGCTATATGATATAGCACCGTGCTTTTTTAACTAGAAATAGCAATTGTATCAAGACTGGTACATACATACAATTCACAAAATTCATTATAAACGTGCTATAAAGTAGTTATCGTGCTATAACTTTAAATTAGCTATATGATATAGCACCGTGCTTTTTTAACTAGAAATAGCAATTGTATCAAGACTGGTACAAACATACAATTCACAAAATTAGCTATATGATATAGCACCGTGCTTTTTTAACTATAGAAATTGCAATTGTATCAAGACTGGTACAAACAATTCACAAAATTACCTATAACACTATTATTTTGGTACGATGTGTTCTTATAAGTTTTTGGACTTTATTTTTTTCTGTCTCTCAAAGGTTCTATTGCCCTTTAAGATTTTATTTTGATTTTAATTTTAAAACAGCGTGAAACTTTAAAAAAAAAGTTGTATCGTAAAACGTTAAAGCATATCGAACTAAAATAATAATGTTATAAATAGTTATTCTGCACTTTTTTTCTGCAGCGAATGATGACAAAAAAAGTGCTGCAAATTTTTTGTCAACTGAACAGTGATATAAAAGTAAGGTTTATTATATCATCATATTCTTTTAACCTTTGGCTTCAAAAATTTATCTTCGCCTTAGAGCTTTTCTTTTTGAAACAAAAAGGAAATATTGATTTTTTAATATCCTCTCCAATATAAAAACAATGCGCACTGTAAACCTGCTAATGTTAAATGTTGACAGGACTCAATATTTCTAATAAAATAATCTATAAATATGTTCTGCAACGTCTATTATATATTATAATGACCAAGGTTATGGGAAATGTATCTGGGTTACAGTGTGAACCAGAAAACTATAGAATAAATGTCGTCTTCATTCTTGCTTTTTCTTTTTTCTTTATTTTATTTTTTGTATTTGTTGTGAGTAATTTATTTTTCTAAATATGCTGTTTTTGGCTGCATTTTTAAATTTAAGAAAAAGAGCGAAATTGTGCAAACTGTACACTGATAAAACTGTACACCGATAAAACTGTACACTACGCATGTACACCGAGTTGACAATGTACATAAAGTACAGGTCATATTGTAAGATACAAGTTGTCAATTTAACTTTAGTTGAATTCAATATTGTTAACAATAGAGTTTAAACTCTTGTTCACATTGTATTCTCGTCTATTTATTTTCATTTGGGGACAGAACCACCTGATAGGACCCCTTGATCTTCAGATTACGCCGATCCAAGGATTATTTCGTTTTAACTGAATCAGTTGATCTGAAGATCACGCCGAGCCAAGGTGTTTTTTAATTTTACAGTATCACTTAATCTTTAGATCACGCCGATCCATGGTTTATTTTGTTTCAACATGACCACATAATCTTAAGATCACGCCTATCCAAGGTTTATTAGTTTCAACATGACAACTTAATATTAAGATCATGATCCGATCCAATGGTTTATTTAGTTTTAGCAGGACCAATTGATCTTTAGCCAAGGTTTAGTCAATTTTTGCAAGGCATTTGACAGGTTTCCAGATATATCTGATGGAGTGTAGAGAATTCAATTTTTTTGAAACAAATATATTTATTCTTAAAACTTTTTTATATTTATATAGGGTATCGGCGGGTTCTGTATGTGTACACCTCGACTTATTGCAACTATAATACTAATTATTCTGACTGGAGGACTAGCCCTGGTTTTCATCACATGGAGAAAGGAAAATAAATGAATAAATATAAAAAATAATTACATCTAAACTTTTGCATGTAACTCAGGACCAATTTGGAATATAAGAGAGAAATGTTTTAATTATTTCTTCTTTAACCCTATCACGACTGGGGGGTCCACCCCCCCCTCTCTTATTTTTCTAAATAACTTTAAAACGCTAAAACACTCCCTANCCCCAGCCTATATTAGACAAAAATTGCCCAGCCGGAAAGGGTTAAGATTCAAAATTGGCCGGATAAAAAAAAAACTCTCTTTTGAGCTGAAATCAGTAAATAAACCTTGCATTTTTTGCTTTATCTTTTTAAACTTTACACTTCCTGGGGGTAAAAAGAATTGATTCTTTGCCACAAACTCAAATTTTCTAATCCCTATATCTTAGCCTGATTGTGTAAACCTAGATATTACAAACTTAGATATTTTTTTATCTTAGAGACTTCATAGTTTGAAATATCTAAGGTCTACGAAACTGGGTTGCAAAGATATAGGGGTTAGAAAATCAGAGTTTGTGACAAAGACTCATTTCCTGTTTAAATTTAAAAAAAGATTGTTCTTGATTTTATTTCTGATTGAAGGATATAAAAATGTTCTGCTTATATACTGCTGTGCCTCTTAGTAGAGCAAGGAAAATTTTGCTGACGGATAACTTTGAACAGGTAAATTAGATAACTTTGAGCAGGTAAATTAGATAACTTTGAACAGGTAAATTAGATAACTTTGAGCAGGTGATAACTTTGAACAGGTAAATTAGATAACTTTGAGCAGGTAAATTAGATAACTTTGAACAGGTAAATTAGATAACTTTGAGCAGGTTAATTAGATAACTTTGAGCAGGTAAATTAGTGACTTGTCTTTTTAAAGGGAGTGACCGGCTATGTAAGATAGTTGAACTGAGTACGCAGTGTTGTCAACAAATTCTTTCGGATTCATTTGAGACATATTTTACTTTTTAAAGATCTGTAAAGCCTGAGTTTGAGCGCAAAGTCGACGTTCAAAACTCATACTTTGGTGTTGGATACGCTTTCAGAGTGAGTTTTTTTAAATTATTAATTAACGACGACATAAAATGCGTACTCAGTTTAACTACCTTACATAGCCGGTCACTACCTTTAAAGGGATTGTTCAGCTAAATTCAATGGATGGTATGTTTTTTAAAGAGAATTTTTAGATTTCAAGGACAGGTATTTTTGACGTTGTCATTATAATGAAGGTTAAATTTGACCTCTGGGTTATATATATTGCGTTAATAATGTACAAAAGAATTTGTTATAGAAATAACTAATCTCCAGCTGCAGGGAACCATTAAAGAAATTGAGTCTTTGCCACAATGTTAGACATTCTGATCCCTATATCTTTGCAACCCAATGTCCTGGACCTTAAATATTTAAAATATGAATTTGGTTTAAATAAATAATGTAAATATCAAAACTATCAAAGGTTTACACCATCAGGTTGCAATGATATGGTTTTGAAAATTTTAATTTATGTCGTAAATATACTCAATTCCTTTGAACATGTGGTCAAGTCTGAAGTTTCATCCTTTATGATATAACCCTGTATACATATATATTCATATAAAGTTGTAATCTCTTAAGTAAACCCCTTGACCGATTTGCCTCATATTTTGGTTGTGGATATTTGGGGAACCTTCTAAGCTTGGTTTTGAGATTCTAAGTTGAGTAGGCTAAAATCGAAATTTACGACCAAGCGCGGGTAAACGGCGGGAGTAAATATGAGTAACCTGGCCAATGCTGGGTTCTCAAGCTAGTAATTAATATAGAAGTAAATAATATAATATTTTTACTAGGTGTTTGAAGAGGATGTAATCTGGGTTGGGGAGCGCCCATCTTATTTTGTAAACAAAAAAATTAAATATGTTTGGTCGGAGACTGGAGAAACTTTTCAAAAACTAAAGTAAGTTGTTAACTTATATTAGAGCATACATCTAGGCTTTCTCTTCATGTTATGCATGTTAAAGGGACTGTTAACTTAATTTCAAGCGACCCTTTATACAAAGACGACATTGCGAAATGCGAAAAGCTGGAGCATTGCGTTTAAATTAAAAAGACTTTATAGTTATGATTTGAATAATATTTCACACAAAGTTTAGTTTGAAAAAAGAAACCTAATATAATTAAATAAGAAAAATTTAGTAAAAAGGTAATTTATTATTGTTATCTACTGTGTGGGCCTTTTTCTTTATTTGATTAAAGTGGTTGAATTAAATTGCCCTTCCTTCCCTTTTGAGAAGAAGTGTCATTTCACAAATTATTTTCTCTTTGCGTTATAAATCACAGGGCTCAGTAATAAATGGGTTTTTATACTACAGAGTTGGATGATGGAACATAGCTTGGTTTGTTTTGTAAATACTTTAAGGTTTTTGGACTTTTAAAGGGTGTGTCTGGCTAGACATAGTAGTTGAGCTAAGAGTGCAGTATTGTTGTTGAGAAATTTTTAAAGATCACTTGAGACCCATAAGACCCCTATAGGTCTGTACGGTGTAAAATTGCTAAGTAAGAGCGCAAAATCGATCTTTAATGGTTTCAAAGATATAGAGATTAGAAAGTTTAAGTTTGTTTCAATTAAGTGTTCAGTTCCTTCGAAAAATGTTTTAAATATTATATATTCATATAAATGCATGAAAGTATGCGAAGCTAAATATATAGATCTTGTATCTTAATAAAATCCTTGCTCAGCAATCTAGCTTGATCCTTCTTGGCCCGTATAAGCCTTAAGCTGTGTTATTCAAGTCTTCATCCACATTGTTATGGCTTCTTTTATAACCATCGTGGTATACTATACTCATTTCAGGATCTACACCTTAGATAATATATTTATTCGATTTTTTAAAATCATTTTTATGGATTCAGCTCTCCCCTCCTCTCCCCTCCTCTCCCCCGTCAGAGGCTATTGTGGCCCCCGCACGTGTTTGTTAACTAACTTCGGATTGAAATTTTGATAGTGTATAGTATAGTTCATAGTCATAATCAGATGTTTAGGACTATACAGATTATTGAGGTATGTCACACTATCCATAAATAGATAGATAAACAGAAATNTGCGCGCACATGAATTACAGGGTTTGTAAGGAAATTAAGAATTTTTGGAGATTATCTTTTTTACATTTGATGAAAAAGTGCAATTTCTAGTTATTTCAATAAAAGATTGTATGCGTCATGGGCTACTATTGCTTAAATAACTGAGATCTCAGCATTTTTAAAAGATATTATCAATATCTCAGTCAATTAATCTTAAATGTGGAAATCAAGAAATTTAAAGTTTGGAATTCTATGACCTTAGTTTCTTTTATTTTTTATTTTAAAGAATATCACTAAAAAATGTTTAACTAAAGATGTGTCTTGTTAATTGATACAAAATTCTTCTTTTAATATTTTTATCTCATTGTTTAGATGTACGGAGATAATTTGATCAAAATCAGTGTTCCACCAATCCTCTACCTTGTCATCCATGAGGTATAATCCTTGTCATCCATTAGTTAAAATCCTTGTCATTCATTAGATAAAATCATCCATACTACTCAAATATTAGGTCAGCTAGTGCTAGAATCTTCAAAACGTTTGTAAATTATCTTAAAGTCATGAAAAACAGATTTAACATTTCGATCAGCATATTTATATATATCTTTATGGGTTTTTGAATGAGAGGCAAAGATACAAATTATTTTTCCTATTTTTAACCTAAAAAGACAATAAATTTAACAATTATGGGTCGATTTTGTAGAAAATAGTAAAAACCCAAGAGGAGCATTTAATGAACGAGAACCAAATCAGTTTATCGTGATTGTAAGATAATTTATAGATGTTTTGAAAGCTCTATCTCTAAATCTGAAAATGGGAGGAACTTAAATGGGCTTTTGCATATATTTCTTTATGTGCACAGAGGTAAATAACTTACAAACCAAACCAAGCTTTGCTTTTGCATTTCTTTCCTTCTCCTTATCATCCATGAGATAAAATCCTTGTCATCCATGAGGTAAAATCCTTGCCATCCATGAGGTAAAATCCTTGTCATCCATGAGATAAAATCCTTGTCATCCATGAGGTAAAATCCCTGTCATCCATGAGATAAAATCCTTATCATCCTTGAGGTAAAACACTTGTCTTCCATGAGGTAAAATGATAAAAACGATAAGTGGAATATGTTTTGAAATATATTTTGAAATATATTTTGAAATATATTAAGCAGGTAAAAAGTTAAATAAATAAAAGAATTCAGTTTCAGTGAATAGGGATTCCACGTTGTTCATTAAATAAACACAACACGCAGAAAAAAGAAAGAATGATAGATGTTAAAATTTATTTAAGAAACTAACTTAACTGTTAACCAATCGATCTATTTGAATCATAGGAAAATAAAATGTTTTTGTATTATTTCTGTTGTTCAAACACGTAGATTCTAAAAAAAACGTAATGTGGTGTTGCATTAAATATGTATATCTTTCAAATTCTCATAAATCTGTCAATAAGATTTATAAACATCAAGTCTATAACAAACATGTGATGTTTAAGGAAGACAGATTTGAAATTATGAATATAAAAAAACTGAGGTCAGACTAGGGCTGGGCAGTGGGCATGTTGCAACGTTCCATCAACAAAACAGAAGTTTCTAAAAATTAACAGAAACTTTTAATTTGCAGCGATTAAGTCCTAAATCCGTCTGACTTATATTTAATCTTGAATTTTTGGCTTAAGATTGCTTGATTGGGCCTTCAGAGATATTTCAAACAAATTGACTTAATCCGTCGAACTACAAAAGAAATGGATAAGTCCTCTCTATGGTATTTAAAAGTTCCGACCTTTCAACAAATTAATGTTTAGGGGTTGAACCCGTTCTATCTGTTCCAAGTGTACACTGTTGTACTGTGGTCCCTGCAGTACTACTGGAAGTTTGCTGTTATCATAGCTGTCACATCTGTCGTATCAGTAACTGTCTCTGTCTGGGAAACTAGACGGGTAAGTAGAAGGGGGAGGGGAGGGGGAATATCTAAAAAAAATCTAAATATTTTTTTTTCCAGCAAAACCGAAATCTTCGAGACACAATGAAATCCGAATCCAAAGTACGAGTGGTTCGGGATAATAAAGGTAGGATAATCTTGTAAACTGGTGAACTGGTAGGGAACGCACAAATTTTAAAATAAAAAGTGTTTTTAAGATGTATCTTTGTAATTTCTTGGCAAAGAGAATAGAATATATATTAGAGGGGAATTTAATAGAAAAAAAGTGTAAAACGGACATTTTGTTGTACTGTTTTTGGGCCCTAGAATATCATTTTATAGAAAATCTAAAATTAATGTTAAAGAAAACCAAATTATGAAATAGGCTGGTTTCATAATTGACCAATCATCATTTAACATAGACTCTATGCCTTTCACTTTACAAACGATGATTTTCCGTTATAACTATAAATCAAATGATGTTTTTATTCACCTAATTCATTATAAAGTTTGTTTAACAGCTTTAAAAAATTCGAAATTGAAATGAATAGTCTAGGGAACATAATTTATTAATGTACTCTACTGTATATAATTTGTGAACATTTACATGATTTGTACACTTTGAACTTCCTTTCAGGCTGAAAGGGACTGCAAAAATGCATACCGAGAGATTCATTAAATTCCCCTCTAATATATATTCTATTCTCTATGTTTCTTGGTCGTCGGCCTTTCCAACTGAAAAAACTATCCCAATGAAAGGCCCACTTAAAGATTCGTCCTTCCATATTCACAAAATAATTTATATGTACAAAAGTGAACATATAGTACACAATGAACTTGTGTACTATATGTACAAAAGTGAACATATAGTACACAATGAACTTGTGATTGTAAATAGATAAAATAATGTTTATTATTGAACCAGTTACTGATGATAAATGTAAATATTAAATAATTATAATTTTATTGTTTTCAAAACTAAACCTAATCTATCACAGTAATGTATTTTTCTGTATTTTATTGAAGAGATTGTCCTTTCGAGTGTTGACTTGGTTCCTGGAGATACTATTCTTCTACCTGCTACAGGTAAACCATCCCCCCCCCCCTTCCTTGGGGAAACTATTCTTCTTCCTGCTACAGGTAAACCATCCTCTCCCCTTCCCGGGGATACTATTCTTCTACCTGCTACAGGTANCCCCCCCTGCGCCCAATTAAAAAATGTAGGATAGTAGTTCTCAAAATAAAATAAAATAGTTATTTACTGAAATTACTGACATCCTAAAGAATCTCTCTAAATCGTTTTTTCTAAATAAGATTGCAACTCCTTAAAATGAACAACATCTTTTAGGAAACGTGGCTCGCCCTCCACCCCATGATATACTGAAAAAAAATGGCTTGTTTCCATTTTCTTGTTTTTTTTTAGGTGGATACACGATAGAGTGTGACTCAGTACTGGTGGAAGGTAGTGCTGTCGTTAATGAAAGTATGTTAACAGGAGAATCTATACCTGTCACTAAGGTAACATCATTATCGTTGTAATTATTAATCTATTTGAATAAGTCTTTATCACTTCTTTATTGGTTATAACATTTTCATGAAACTTATTTTGTGTTAACCCATAAAGTTATAAATCTAAGTCAAATTTGTAAAAAAATCATTTTCCGTTTGAATTTGTTCTGAAAGTTTATTCCATGTTTGCTTAAACAGGTTGGAAATTTATGTATATCAATCTATGTATAGGTTGGTTGGTATATATCTGATGCAAAGGTTGGTATATATATATGCACAGGTTGGTATATATCTATGTATAGGTGGGAATATATTTATGTATAGGTTGGTATATATATATATGCACAGGTTGGTATATATCTATGTATAGGTTGGTATATAATTATGTATAGGTTGGTATATATATATATATATATACATATATATGCACAGGTTGGTATATATCTATGTATAGGTTGGTATATAATTATGTATAGGTTGGTATATATATATATATATACATATATATGCACAGGTTGGTATATATCTATGTATAGGTTGGTATATATATATATATGCACAGGTAAGTACATAACTATGTACTGGTTGGTGTATATCTATATACAGGTTGGAATATATCTATGTTCAGGTTGGAATATATCTACGTATAGGTTAGTATATATCTATGTATAGGTTCGTATATATCTATTTACAGGTTTGTATGTATCTATGTGCGGGTTGGTATATATCTATGCACAAAGTTCTTAAATAGCGGTGGTATATCCTCAGTTTTTAAATAGCGGTGGTATATCCTCAGTTTTTAAATAGCGGTGGTATATCCTCAGTTTTTAAATAGCGGTGGTATATCCTCAGTTCTTAAAGAGTGGTGGTATATCCTCAGTTCTTAAATAGCGGTGGTATATCCTCAGTTCTTAAATAGCGGTGGTATATCCTCAGTTCTTAAATAGCGGTGGTCCGGTATAGTTGGTTTATTTAGCGTTCAAAGAGCGTTATGCTCATTAGAAAAAGTCTTTTTTAAAGGTTTTTTGAGATATGCAGGGGCGGAAAATTCTAACCTATGATTTGGGCCAAATTACGGTTTGGAACATTTCTCCTATAGTAATTCTTTTTTTCTGTCAAGACATTAGAAAAGCATTTAATAGATGGACAAGGACAATTCATTATTAAAACAAATAGAATTTTTATTTACAAAAGAGGAACTTTCATTTTAATAACCGACTGTGTAATATTTATGAAGTGTCCCAACGCCATTTTAATGTTGCTTGTTAGACCGAATCATGCATCGACGACGATTCTAAAAATATCTTTTTAAAGTGTTGGACGAGATTGTGAACTGGTAAAACCTGATCAGACGATAGTTCGAGTAACTCTGGCAGGGACGGATCAGTTCCAGGTTCAATATACGGCTCCGGAGACAGAAACAGCCAGCATTATTCATGTAATAAAGCTTTTATTTAGGGAGTGATCACTGTTTCTTAAAGGATTATTATAGGACAAATATGGCAAACCCTAAAGGTTGCTTGTTTTACTAAAGAAATTTTAATTTCTAATCCCTTTATCTTTCCAACCTAATGTCGAAGACCTTAATTATTTAAATCTGTAAATGCTGTTAGATCAAAATAATTTTATATCAAGTTTACATCATCAGGTTGCAAATATATAGGGATAAGAAAAATTGAGATTGTTGAAAAGACCAAATTCCTTTCACACAGTATACCTGAACATGGATCAAAAATTTCGCATAATTCATAAGGCAAAGTTAGTTTTTGACCTAATAGTCAAAGGAACTGAGTTTTTGTCACACGCTCAAATTGGCTTATCCCTATATCTTTGCAACCCGATATTTCTGTCAGATTACATATTCTAAGTTTTAAATATCGAAGGTTTACACCATCATGTTGCAAAGATAAAGAGATTAGAAAATTTGAGTTTGTGGCAAAACTCAATTCCTTTTAGAAAAATATTGTCTTTTTGGTCAATTTGATAAAATTATTTTTTTCTATCTATTGTCAGGATACGACCCAGTTAAAGAGTTTAACTGGTGACAGCTATGTATTTGCTTGTTATTGTCAGGATACGACCCAGTTAAAGAGTTTGACTGGTTACAGCTATGTATTTGCTTGTTATTGTCAGGATACGACCCAGTTAAAGAGTTTGACTGGTGACAGCTATGTATTTGCTTGTTATTGTCAGGATACGACCCAGTTAAAGAGTTTGACTGGTGACAGCTATGTATTTGCTTGTGATGGACCAACCTTTAATGCAATTATGACCAAGGATCCAGAACTATTCAAGAAGATTGTTCACAGGAAATTTAAATTTTAAGCAGTTTAAACTTTAAAAAGATTGTCTCGCTCTTGACAGACACAAATATCAACCATTGTTTAAATTTAATTTTAAGTAACCGTCCATGTTAAGATAGCATTTCTCGATTCACAACAATACCCTTAAAAGCTTTGCCTGATCAATCTAAATAAAATATCAATGTTTATAAATTTTAAAAATAATTATTTTTAATTGTGGTTTCTCCTTCAAACTGTCTTTGCGGTGGAAAACAGATTCATATCGGAATTTAACACTTTTAAAAACAACAATATCTTTATTGATCAGAAATTAAAAAAGGTACTGCATTGCCATCTTTGCATGGAGGGTAATCTGAAATTACCCGTACAGTCCCTTCAACCAATCAGAAAAGAGCAGAAACATGTCAAGCCAATGAGAAGAAACTTAGTAATCTTTGCATCTCTGCATTCATCATTTTTTTATTTGGCATCATGTGGATTTTTGCCTTTTTAGTTAAATTTTTGTCCTATTTTGCATTTTTAACAATATTCGGTTTCTTAAGGTTGATAAATTGCACCTCATTGCACGGAGTTATGCTTTCTTCGTTGTTTCTATTCGTTTAATAATAAGCCTACAATCTCCATTTTTAAACTTTTATAGCTTCATTTATTATAGTTCAGAAGATTTGACTTATCAAACCTCTTCTGATCTTTTTTGTAACCTAAAAGTTTTTAGATTTTTAAGTTTAAAAAGCTCATTGAAAATGAAATTTCTACAGTGATCTACTCGTTTTCTTTTAAAAAATAAGTATTGATAAAGATAGTTATAACAAAAATATCTTTAATTTATTTTGTGCTTTTAAAATAAATTGGATTCAGAGGTAAAATATTTGCTCGCATGCTGCCAGAACAGAAGATCCACCTGATAGAAGCTTTAAAAAACATGGGGTAAATAACAAATTTAAAAACAATTATTTTTAAATGTTAAATTAATATGCTGTTAGGAGACAAGTTATAATGTGTGGAGATGGCTGCAATGACTGTGGTGCACTGAAAACTGCACATGCAGGTAGGAGAGGAGACCAATAAATAGACTGTAGACATAATTTATTACTTGTTGCTTGTTGGATTTACTACGGTACTCTTAACTCTTTCTACCTTTTAGCTGAAAATTAATTACTTTTTGTGGATTCTCTTTAAAATTCATCCGCAGATATTCATCTGCAGAGACATTAAAGGATATTTACAGAATATAATACTTGATAGAAAAGCGAAGATATCTTCTGAACTATTGATCGGATTTTCGTTGGGAATCGGGTATGGCACTCATAAAATAAAACGTTACTTAAAATTACAACGTGCAGTCGCTTTAAACCGGCTAAATTTTCATTTCAAATTCTATTTTAATTCCAGGTATTTCCTTATCGATGGCCGAGGCATCAGTGGCTGCTCCGTTTACTTCTAGAAACGTGAATATCTCCTGTGTACCATATCTTATCAGGTAACTGACAGGGTGTCCTGTGTACCATATCTTATCAGGTAACTGACAGGGTGTCCTGTGTACCATATCTTATCAGGTAACGGACAGGGTGTCCTGAAAAATGTGAGAATTAAGTGCAGACTTTAAATTCATTATTTTATGATAGCATAGGGATAGACATTTAAGTTTTAAAAGTTTTCAATTGAGTGCCATGACCTTGAACCTGGGGGTTGCTCTGGTCCAGTATAGATGATTTTACGTTAGTAAAATAAATAAAATGAAAATCTTTTCCTTTCTCAAATTATTTTTACAACAAATAATTATTTCAATTTTAATTAATTTCGTCGTTTTATATTGATTAGGAACTGAATTCTTGCCATTTACTCAAATGGTCTCATCCATATAGCTTTAAAACGGATTGTGCATGAACCTTTGATATTTTTAAAATAAGACTTTTTGATCTAACAAAATTCATAGTTTGAAATATAAGGAACTTAGTTACTTTGACATACAGGGTGTCCCAATAAATTTAGAAATTGAGAGAGGACTTGAATATCGTCTTTGATTTCCGATAATTGATAAATGCCATAAAGTGCATTAAAAAAGATTGAAGGTCTAATGAGCTTTCCAAAATGTGGCCTACCTTCTTTGTTGCTTAAAACATGACGAAGATATTAAAAATTTTATCAGTTTTATTGATTTTTAAAAAACTGGAATCTGGACAAATTTCCAAATATCCCCGGCAATTTTGACCTGGGAAAAAGGTAGACTACATTTTGGAAATATTAGTAGTGTTTGTTGTTAAATGTTTTAACTGTGATACTACAAAATTATATTTACGAAATAATCCCTGGTACAAAGACGATATAGAAGTCATTTAATTCCCATGTTTATTGGGACACCCTTTATGATGCACATTTTTTGCATTGAAATAAAATAAACAATTTTATTTATTTTCTTCAGAGAAGGAAGAGCTACAATGGTATCCGCCTTTGCTTCTTTCAAGTTCGGAGTTGCTTTCTGCTTTACACAGCTTATAAGTGTTCTCATGGTCTTTTATGTAAGTTTGACCATAATTTAAACAATATATATGTATATATAAAGCTTTAATCTCTGTTTGTTTGTTTGTTTGTCCGATCATAACTCAGGAACCCCTGGACCGATTTGCCTTTAATTTTGATTGAGAAACGGGAATGTTATTAGCTTGGTTTTGAGATACTAAGTTGAGTGGATCGACTTTTATCGGGAAAAAATAGTTAAAATCGTAATTTACGACAAAGCGCGGGTAATGAGTGGGATTAACTATGACCCCCTCTGCAACGCTGGGTTCCCAAGCTAGTTTGTTTATAATCTAAAAAACTGAAGTTCTAATTTTAAAGAGCCCATTTAATTTAAGCATTGTCGAATATGATCTTTTCTCATTATAAATTTTGATAGTTTAATCACATATTTACTTAATCTTTTTTAAACATGCCAAGTTTTTTCTTTTATACTCTAGATTGAAACTGAGCCTAGTGATAACCAGTACCAGTAGTAGATATACTTCATGTATATACTCTAGATTGGAACTGAACCTAGTGATAGCCAGTACCTAGTAGTGGATATATTTCATGTATATACTCTAGATTGGAACGGAGCCTAGTGATAACCAGTACCTAGTAGTGGATATCGGACTAGCTGCTGTACCAATATTAATGATCGGGAATACTGCTCCTCATGATCAGCTAGTCAAACGGAAACCAACTAGGTCAGTTTTTTTTTAAAGGGAGTGTTCGCGAAAAGTGACAGGGGGTAAAGGTAAAGTCAGATCAATATTCATTGAATAATATGAGACTTTTTGCATTGCAGGGCAACGGGTTGTTTTAGTTTTTTATTTTAATGGGAGTGTTCGCGAAAATCGAAAAAACTAACTGTAACTAAATTTGATAGCCATCAACCCAAACCTTCTATTATTTTAGGGGCAAAATCACTTTTTAAAAAGGTTTTTTTATTTTATTATATATGTTTTCATAATCCATTTTTTAGGCATCTGCTCTCCTTTCTACCGATGTTTTCTGTTGTATCATTTCTCTTCTTTCAAACCATAGCGTACATGTTTATATGGTTTTATGTTCAATCACAAGAATGGTATGTACTCGTTGTACAGTACTGTACTGCAGTTTAGGGGGGGGGATTTCTTTAAAAGTCAGACCTAACAGTATTTACATTTCTCCCAGAAACTGCTAAGCTGTACAATTTATTTGTAAACAAAGGCATTTCCTTGTATTAGTATAATGTACTGCATTGTGCAGTTTAAGCAGCCTAGCTAATGTATCCCTTATGTTTTTTTTCAATTTAAAATAGGATTTTTTTAAACGTTGAAATGCATTTGTTTGGCACAAACAAACAAATATTCTTAAACATGGAATTTCCTAAATATATGATAGTAATAGAATAATTCATCAAAAGAAATAAAATTTTAGACAGAAATTTAAGGTTTGAATATATTTAGGTTTGTAAAATATCAGTTTGTATCAGATCTATGGCCCCCAAACTCTAGCTACGAGCAGACTAATATATTTCTGTATGCGTGTGCAGCTGCTACCATTGCAGCAATAATATTCTCCAAGGGATCCCCGTATAGGAAACCTCTTTACACCAATGGTGAGAATTTTATCTTCTCATTTCAAGATGAACAGGTTTAATTTAATACACGGTTATCCAAACAGGAAGTCTCTTCAGCGATGATTGCAGGAAATTTGTTCAGTATTATATTTCTTTTCTTCATATTTTTTAATTTAAATATATATATATATATGCACAGGTTGGTATAAATCTATTTACTAGTAGGTATATATCTATGTGCGGGTTGGTATATATCTATGCACAGGTTGATATATATCTATGCAAAGGTTGATATATATATGCACAGGTTGGTAAATATATACATGTATAGTTATATATATATCTATGTACAGGTTGATATATATATATATGTACACTGTATAGGTTGGTATATATTTATGTACAGGTTGGTATATATATATCTATGTACACTGTATAGGTTTTGGTATATATCTATGTACAGTTTGGTATATATATATGTATCTATGTACACTGTATAGGTTGATATATATCTATGTACAGGTTTGTATATATATATTTCTATGTACACTGTATAGGTTGATATATATCTATGTACAGGTTGGTATATATATATCTATGTACACTGTTTAGGTTGGTATACCGGATGAAAGAGAAGTGTTTAACTACGACTACAACAGACAGTACATAATGTTCTGTGGTACAGAGGTAAACAAAAAAAACAATAACAAGAAAAACAAAAAATAATCAAACAAGTGTACTGTAGTGTATGGGAGGAATGTAAACAAACTGCAGTACTTATTTTGTAAACAAATTGGATGAGTTCTTCAATCTGATTTTTATATAACTTCAATGAACTACTGCTCTGCTTTGTTTGCAATAAAAATATCTGGGTTCACAACTTCCTACAGTTCTATCTTTAAATTGAATTTAATAAAATTTATATTTTAAACACTAAACTTTTTTCATGTTGGCTTAATTTGATTAATTGGAGAGATCACCATGACACGGTGTAAAGGAAATAAAAAGGTTTCTCAAGGAAAAAAAGAGTTATAAACCATTTTTGTGATTGACCGATGAAAAATAGTGGTTTAACAAAGTTGGATCGTCTTTAATGAAATAAAGGAGTTTCCTTTGAAAAAATAGCTTATATTCAGTGAAACAACCGATAGAATAATGATAAGGCCGGGTTTAAAACTTACTCTGGTGAAAACGAATCTTTTCTAGGCTTCCACTTGCTGTAATGCTGTAAAGTGCTTTTTCAAAAATAAAACAAAATTCTTTATAATTTTCTTGTGTTCAGGTGATGCAGGGTAAAGCCAAGCAAGGAAATTACATCAAGGCAGTTGTTATCAGAACAGGTTCGGCTTGATTTTAAACAAAATGACTTGTTAAATAATTGAATAAAAAAATCTTTTATAATTTCTGTCATTTTCATTGATTCTACCTTAACAACAGAAACAGTTAACAAAATCTATATTTACAAAAATAAACCTAGAACTTTTGAATGGGATAAAGTTAAATCTCAAGGACGTACAGTAAACCGAAATTTCTAAAATTTTGAAATTTTACCAAATTGTAAATATAAAATATTAATATCGACAAAATTCTGAAATTGTGGTTATTGATAATTTTTGTGTTTTAGTTATTACGATTTTTTTCTTTTTTAGGTTTTATGACAACCAAAGGAGAGCTGGTTAGAGCCATCTTGTTCCCCCCTCCTCTTGATTTTAAATTCTTCAGCGACTTCTTAAAATCTGTTTACGTTTTCCTAACCCTCGGTCTCATAGGCATGGGCTACTCTATGGCAATGTGGATCAGAAACGGGGTAAATATTAAAGAAAATGTGTTGTATGACTAAAATTTAGCATGTTTTAGAGCGGATCAGACTAAATTTTACCAGTACTTTTTCATAAAGAAATTGAGCTTTTGTCACAAACTTACATGTAGACCTTAGATATTTTAACCTTTGTTGTTCAGGGAACTATATCTGAGATACTGCTGAACAGTTTGGATATTCTAACCTTTGTTGTTCCCCCAATCCTTCCTGCTGCTCTGACCGCTAACAATGCATTCGCTCAGCGACGTCTTCAGGCAAATCATGGTTTAGAAAAACTAAACTGAATGTGAGGAGAAACATTTGCTTTTCTCATAATTGTGCTTAAAATCAAAGCTAGATTATTTATTTATTATTATTCCATTGAATGATCAGATTTTTAAGCTGTTTTGTTATTCTTAAAAAATTCATTCTAACAATCACATGTCCAGATTTTAATATTTCTTTTTGCTTGGGATTATAAAATTTCATATCTTTAATCCATATTTGTTGCAAAAAAGTAGATGTTTGTTTTAAACCGATATTTGCTTAGAAACGTGGTATATTCTGCCTTCATACAAAACATATCAGCTTGTGTGGTGGAATAGATGTTGTGGCTTTCGATAAGGTTGGTTCATTTCGTTTTTTTATTTAAGAAACTAATTTTTAAATCCCTATGTCTTTACAACCTGATGGTGTGAACCTTTGATATATGAACGACGTTTGATTTCAAATATATAATGAGTGAATTTTCCTTTAAAAATACGATGTATTTTACTTATTTTAACATTAAAGTTGAATATCTATTTATTTTTACATGTTTCTAAATTTTACTTGTTAAAAGCTGCAAAAAAATACAAGAAATATGTCAACTTGTTTGTTAGATAAAATTCTTATTTAAAGTGTTGAAAGTTGAGTGTTAAAATGTATTCGTTTTTTATTTTTATAAACTTTTAATTGACATCGTATTATGTGAAGAAGCTAACAAAATATGTTATATCAAAATTATGATTAGCAAGGACAAATGATGATCTGAGAATATTATGATCATGTTGGTTACTTGCTCAACTAGCTTGTGATGATCAGAAGAAGTTATCTCACAACCTCCTTGAGTGAGTGATCAATGTGATCTTGATCTACAATCTTCAAATCATGTGATCTATGCCCGCCAAAAACAGCCTATGTTGAACTTCCCGCCAAAAAAAAAATTGAACTGAACTGCCCGCCAGACCTGAAATAGTTTGACCTGAGCTACCCACCAGAAATGTTTGAGCTGAACTACCAGTCAGAAATAGTTTGGGCTGAGCTACCCACCAGAAAAAGTTTGAGCTGAGCTACCCGCCAGAAAAAGTTTGAGCTCATCTACCAGGCAGAAATAGTTTGAGCTGAGCTACCCGCCAGAAAAAGTTTGAGCTGAACTACCAGACAGAAATAGTTTGGGCTGAAACTACCCACCAGAAATAGTTTGAGCTGAACTACCAGGCAGAAATAGTTTGAGCTGAACTACCAGAAAGAAATAGTTTGGGCTGAACTACCCACCAGAAATAGTTTGAGCTAGAAATAGTTTGGGCTGAACTACCCACCAGAAATAGTTTGAGCTGAACTACCAGGCAGAAATAGTTTGGGCTGAACTACCCACCAGGAATAGTTTGAGCTGAACAGCTCGCCATAAATAGTTTGATTTGAACTACCCACCAGAAATGGTATGAGTTGAACTACCCGCCAGAAATAGGTTGAGCTGAACTGCTTAACAGAAATAGTCTGAGCTTAATTGCCGTTAAAAGCACTTAAAGCTGAAATACCCGCCCAGAAATAGTTTGAGCTGAACTCCCCGCCAGAAATAGTTTGAGCTGAACTCCCTGCCAGAAATAGTTTGAGCTGAAATACCCGCCCAGAAATAGTTTGAGCTGAACTCCCCGCCAGAATTAGTTTGAGCTGAACTCCCTGCCAGAAATAGTTTGAGCTGAACTCCCCGCCAGAAATAGTTTGAGCTGAACTCCCAGAAAGAAATAGTTTGAGCTGAACTCCCCGCCAGAATTAGTTTGAGCTGAACTCCCTGCCAGAAATAGTTTGAGCTGAACTCCCCGCCAGAAATAGTTTGAGCTGAACTCCCCGCCAGAAATAGTTTGAGCTGAACTCCCCGCCAGAAATAGTTTGAGCTGAACTATTTGTAACTAATTTTAAAATCACAAACGGAGAAAAAAAATATTTTTTTACTTTCTATGATTAAGATAATGTTTAAAAAATATTTTCTTGTAAGTATATATATTCCTGTTTTGGGAGTATAAAAGAAGTATCATAAATAGATTAATTGTATTAAACGAATTGATATGCAAAAAATTATATTGAAAAATATGGTAAAATCGTCTTCGAAGTGTAAAATTTGAAAGCAGGAAATGAAGAATAAAGTGAAGAAAGGCAGCTGGATTGATACCTTGAAAGAAAAAGAAATTGCCTGTCATAAGATTAATGAAAGCAGGAAATCAGCAAAATTTTCTGAATTAAAATTTGAAATGAAATATTTCTGGGAGAAACCCTATAAATTCTCTTTATGTATTTAGACAGGGACATTGACAGAGGGAGACCTAGATTTGGCGGGGGTTTGTGAAATCAAGGAAAACCAGTTCCAGGTAAAATAGGATTTCAAAGATGGCGCAAGGGTTCCTGATTTCGTAATAATTTCGTAGATTTTATGAATATTTTCCGATCATAAGTATTTTTCAAAATTGAATATTTTTCCAAAGTGTTTGTTTATCCAATAAACGTCTAAACGGCTGAACCGATCGGGTCCAATTTTTTGGGGGGCCCTCGTGTGACCCCAGAATGATCAAATTTTCCAAAAAATTTGAAAGTTTTGAAAATCCATGACCTTTTTTATCAAATCCGCGAACTTTTGTTTGTTTTTTGTTTTACAATGCATACAAAGAGAAAATGTTCACAATGGAAAAAGAAGATGGGCGTGAAGCGCCCTAAAAGCCTAGTTATCAATATTTTCCAGGCATGAATATTTTTTAATCGTGAATATTTTCTAATCCTAAATATTTTCAGGAAAGTGAGCCTAATCCTTCCCGGCTACCAACAGACAGTCTTTTAATCCAAACCATGGCCTCCTGCCATTCTTTGATTAAGATGAACGGGGAGCTGACCGGCTACCCAATGGACATCAAACTGTTCGAAGCAATTGGCTGGGTAAGAAAACCTAGCTTATACAATTTACTTTAAAATTTATCAATATTTGTGTTTGAAAGAATTGAGTTTTTGTCACAAACTCAAATGTTCGAATCTTTGCAACCTGATGGTGTAAACCTTTGATATTTCAAACTTGATCCAACATTATTCATGGAATTTGAAATATCCAAGTTCTAAGACATTGGGTTGCAAAAAATAGAGATTACAAAATCAAAGTTTGTGGCAAAAGACTTGATTTCTTTTAATTTAGGAATTAAAAGAGGAGCCCCATGCTGGACTGAACCCGGAGTATGGAATAGCAACTCCTACTCTTGTATCCCCTCCAAAGGTTAGTTTTTAAATTTTTTTAAGAATGCAACAATTTTTATAAACTCTTGCTAATCTTAAACTTTTCACCGAATCCCATTCTATTTTATTTCATTGTTTTACATTACGTTTGACGCATATTACTGATTTTTTTAATTTATCAATTAGTCCACTTAAAAGCCTGTTTGCGAAGTAATTGAATAAAAATAAATCTTGTGATTATCGTTAAATCGGATTAAAAGGAATTGAGTTTTGCTACAAATTCAGAAGTTCAAATCTCAATATCTTTGCAAACCAATGTCGCAAACCTTTTATGTTTCAAACTATTAATTAAGTTAGCTCTAAAAATCTTATATTTTAAATAACATTAAGGTTCACACCATCAGGTTGGAAAGAGATAGGGATTGAGTTTGCGGCAAAGACTGAATTTCATTAAAAGGAATTGAGTTTTTGCCACACGAATTTTCTAATCTTTATATCTTGGCAACCTGATGGTGGAAACCCTTGATATTTCAAACTTAGGCTATTCGATCTAAAAGAATTCATAGTTTGAAATACCTAACGTCAACGAAATTGGGTTGCAAAGATATAGGTATTAGAAAATCAGAGTTTGTGACAAAGACTCAATTCCTTTATCTAAAAAATCTTTCAATCCTAAATATTGTTGGTTTCAGAACATTAGGAGTGGAGGACAATTAAAGCTGGGAGGGTTTGCCCCGTCAAATCTTGAAATAGCTTTACTCAAGCAGTATCCATTCGACTCAGCTGTGCAACGAATGACAGTGGTTGCTAAGAAGAAGGGAAGTTCTAACTACAGTGTGTTCATCAAGGGGGCTCCGGAGAAAGTTGCTTCTTTATGTAAACCAGAGACAAGTAATATTTTTACAAATAATTATAAAAAGAATAGTTCACAAGTTTACATTGCTGCTCGAAGAATCTTAATATAAGTAATGTTTCAATTCATAAAATTATTTAAAAGAGTTTCATGCCAAAAATTTAAAAATTAAACATAATTGGCATATGTTTGTCTGGGTTTCTAGTTTGTTTGTTTCCAATAAACGTCAAAACCAAAGAATTTTGCCAAGAAAAAAGTCTTGAGTTAAACATTATTTTGAACACAAATAAAAAAAAAATTATGTTTCGCAATTTACAAAAATATGACGGTTTGAAACAACATTCTAATCTACATGGTTCTTTGAAAACAAAATGCTTAAAATGTTTAAAATTTTTAAAATGTTTAAAATGTTTAAAAATTTTAAAATGTTTAAAATGTTTAAAATGTTTAAAATGTTTAAAATGTTTAAAATGTTTAAAATGTTTAGTTCCTCAAGGGTTCACCAATCTGCTTCAGTACTACACAAAGCAGGGGTTTAGAGTAATTGGAGCAGCTGTAAATGGGTTAAAGGTAGAAACATCTCATGATTAAAAATCTTATCTTTCCAAAAAGAAAATAGGAAAAAGAAAATAGAAAAAGCAGATTTATTTAACTTTTACAATGAGACCCAATATATTTCGTAATGTTAGAGTATTAAAGAAAACAGTCCACATCAAGCTGTTTTGGAACGTTGTAATATCAAGTGACCATCCATTTAAAAAATGCTGAATTAAAAACCGTACATTAGATACCGTTCTCTGATGGATGATGTGATGGTATCGTCGTTTGTTACATTCTGATAATTTTCTCGATTGCCTCTATAACATACGCAACAATTAAAAATCATTTTTCTATAAATTATGGGTCATTTAAAATTACGTCTAGATGCAATCCCTTAAACAAAAAAAGTGCTATGATGACAATCATGAATGCGCCCGTTAAAGGGAGGGTTCGTGAACAAATGAAAGGAGGTATTGGCTGATATCGAATTGAATTCGATACCGAACGATACCAATTTTACTTCTACTTCTACCTTCAAAATATTTTTTATTTAATAAGATTCTTGTGTTACTTAAAAAAATGTTGTTTCTGAAGTTTTAGGGTTTTTAATAATGGTGACGCCAGCCGTGAAAACAAGCTATAAGCAAAATTTGAATTGAAACACAATATAAAAAAAATATTATTAAATATCTATTGTATACGAATACAATGAATTAGATTGAACGATTGTAGGTTGTAATATCTAAATGAGTAGTTTTAAATTTAATTGAATTATTGACGATCTGAGTGGAGCTCTTTAGTATGATCCGTTTTAACAATTTTTTCCTTGTAGACGCAACAGATAGAAGTAATTTAGTAGCAATAGATGTCGAATTCAATTCGGGATCAGACCGGATACCCATTTCATTCTTTTTAAAGAACTATTGTTGTCTAGCCTGGGTTAAAGTTGAGTGAGGTTAACGGATTGTCCCGATCTGAACTGGAGATGGGAGCTGATTTCCTCGGGCTCATCATCATGCAGAACCTGGTCAAGAAGGAAACATACGGAGCTATCAAGGTAAACTATTCATATTTTCTCTTCGCATCAAACTAAAGTAGATTATCAGGGTAAACTATTCATATTTTCTCTTAAACTAAAGTAGATTATCAAGGTAAACTATTCATATTTTCTCTTCGCATCAAACTAAAGTAGATTATCAAGGTAAACTATTCATATTTTCTCTTCACATCAAACTAAAGTAATTTGAACATAAGATTGTAATCAACTCCTTCTAGTAAACACCTGTTAAGAAGAGCAAAGATGTTTAAATCTCTGATATGTAACTGGATAAATTAGTCTTTCTCATACTTCCGCATAAAATCAAAACTAGAGGCGTTAAGAGATCACAATGTCGTACCAGTGATGTTGCATAAATTTGAGCTGCTAGTTAAGTGCATTGTCTTAACTTTTGACTGACATTAAAGTGTTCCAAAGCCTTGGCCTTTGTTTTTACCTGACTAGCTCACTTGTACTTTTTTGTAGCCTTAGAAATATTTATTTTAGAACTTTAAAGTATTTGTTTTTATCTTTTTAAGAAGTAATTTGAAAAAATTCTTTGATCGTTGCAACCTTTGAATCACTGTGTTATTTAGAACAGAGTATAGTGTGACATTGTAGTTTTGTTGTTCCATCTATACTTGTTATAACTAGTATTTATATATTATATATTATATATTCAAACTTTTCTTTGTTTTGGAACAAACCACTGAAAGATATTAAAACAGACTGAAAAGAAAAGTTTTTGGTCAACTCACTAATATACAGCTTTCTTTTATCTCAAGCTTTGCTAAAGGAATAATTTCTCGGTATATTGTATAATAGATAGATAGGCCTAAAAATATGTTATCTTCAAGATGTCTATAAAAACATATATTGTATATTTATCTCTGAAAACATATGACTACAAGATGTCTTTAAATACATATGTCTACAAAATGTCTCTAAAAACATATGACGCTACAAGATATCTCTAAAAACATATGGGTACAAAAATTCTCAAAAACATATAATCTGAAAGATATCTCACAAAAATATAATCTATAGAATTCCTATAAAATATAAAATATTTGGGTATATTAAGTATACATTATCAATATCATAAGAACGGGTTGTTGTGCAATTATAAGAGAGAAGAAACACCCTGTATAATGTGTTATAATTAATAGAGACACCCTGTATATTTATTATAATTAAAAGACACACCCTGTATAATTTATCATAATTAATAGACACACCCTGTATAATTTATCATTATTAATAGACACACCCTGTATATTTATTATAATTTGTATATTTGTTATGATTAATAGAAACACCCGTAAGTTCTTATTTTTAGGAACTCCACGACGCGGATATTCATACAGTGATGGTAACAGGGGATAACATACTCACAGCTATAAGGTAAACCTTCAAAAGGAATTGAGTCTTTGCCACAACCCCTGATTTTCTAATCCCTATATCTTTGCAACCGAATGTCTTAAACCTTAGATATTTCAAACTATGAATTCTGTTACATCAAATAACCTAAGTTTGAAATATCAAAAGTTTACACCATCAGGTAGCACAGATATAAGGATAAGAAAATTTTGGTCTGTGACAATTTCTGAATTTCTTTATACATTATTTAATTTTACTGTTGTCTGTAACTTGTCCTGTATGTTTTTTGAATCCCGGGATCAAGCATTGATCTCCTCTTCGATATCCCGCACTAGTCGTGACCATCAGGGATAAGTAAAATGGAGGAATCAACCATGCATTTCAAAAGTATCCACATTGAATATCAAGTTCAAGCGTTCTAGATACAGAATATTCAATACAAAAGTATCCTCTGTATGGAAAAAAGTTTCTCTCTCGGCTTTCTAAATTTATTTAGCTATACCTGATATTTTTACATCCTCAGTTTTTAAATAGCGGTGGTATATCCTCAGTTCTTAAAGAGCGGTGGTATATCCTCAGTTCTTAAATAGCGGTGGTATATCCTCAGTTCTTAAAGAGCGGTGGTATATCCTCAGTTCTTAAAGAGCGGTGGTATATCCTCAGTTCTTAAAT